GGACGAAGATGTCCAGTACATCGTTGGTGACTGGATGTCAGAGTACAATATGGCGCTCAGGGGTGGTGCAAAAGCCGACGACCCTCTGAACTCGGCAGAATTTGAGCCTTCTTTCCTCGAGGCGATTGAGCCAGCCCTGAAATACCTCGATGCGCGGCGGATTAAAGTTGCCGTAAATGCTGGTGCGAGCGATACGAAGAAACTACACGATGTCTTGGTCGATATGATTGCAGAAAAGGGTCTAAAGCTGAAAGTCGCGTGGATAGAGGGAGACGAAGTAATAGATGTTGTTCAGAAGGGGCTTAAGTCAGGGGACGGATTCAAAAATCTTACAACAGGTATGGCTGCAACACTCAGGTAAAGATATCTCGATGGCAAAACTGATGTCAGAAGGTGAAAACATCAAGGACTGGCCGTATGAGCCCATTTACGCGCAAGCTTACCTCGGATGCTGGGGGATCGTCGAAGCCTTCAAGAAGGGCGCTCACATCGTCCTTTGTGGAAGAGTAGCAGATGCCTCGCCTACCGTTGCGTGTGCCGCATACCACCACGGGTGGAAAAGGGACGACTTTTCACAGCTCGCACACGCGCTTGTGGCAGGTCACTTCATCGAGTGTACCACCTATGCGACAGGCGGCAACTTCTCTGGGTTCAAAACACTCCCTGGAACATCCGTTGAAATTGGATTTCCGATTGCGTCAATCCAGGGAACTGGAGAGTTCACAGTCTATAAGCAAGCGAAGAAAGGGGGCATGGTTACCCCTGAGACGTGTAAGGCCCAGCTGCTGTACGAAATCCAGGGGCCTTATTACTACAATTCTGACGTCGTCGCCATCCTTGACAACATCAAGATGGATAAGGTCGGAGAGAATGAAGTGTAGGTGACACCCTGAAAGGTTCTTAGTGCATGCTAATGGCATTCAGGCGGGTGTTCAACGTTGGGCACATTAAACCACCCCCGACCACAAAAGTCGGTATCACTGCAAAGGGAGGATTCCAAGCTGAAGCTCACTACTTTCTCTGTGGACTTGACATACCCGAGAAGGCTGCTTTGTTTGAGCGCCAACTCAGACACGTCTTTGATGAGTCGAAGTTTTCCTGCCTCAAGTTCCGGACAAACGGGTCATGTCCTGTCAATCCTTCGAACCAAGATGCAGCGACCGTCGACCTGCGCATCTTCGCTCAAGCCCGCGACGAAGACACGCTTTCACCATTGAAGTTCCTTAAGCCAATGGTCGACAACATCATGCAAAGCTACCCAGGTGCGACATTCCACATGGACACGCGACAGGCCTTTCCCAGAGAGTATTACGAATACTGGGTCAGCATCATACCTCAAAGTGCCGCTAAGCACGTGTGCCATCTTCCATGGAAGAACCAGCGAGTGAGCATCGATCCACCGTCGGATACGGTAGACTTTGTGTACAACCAACCGACGTATGAGACCAAGGACCCGATTAACGTGACCACCCTCGGGCCGACGACTCGAGCACCACTAGGACATGTTGTGCACGCGAGGTCAGGTGACAAAGGTTCAGACAGCAACGTCGGCTTTTTCGTGCGAAACGCCGATGAATGGGATTGGCTGAGATCGATGTTGACTGTCAGCAAGATTCGAGAATTGCTGGGTGAGGATGACATGGGAAAGCCCATCTTCCGATTTGAGCTTCCACACCTGCACGGTTAGTCAATTTAGTTCAAATTCGTCCTGAATATTGCTAACATCAGGTCGCTTCAGCGGTGCACTTCTTATTGAAGGATCACCTTGATAGAGGAGTGACATCTAGTTCTTCCTACGACTTTCTGGGTAAGAACGTGGCTGAGTACTTGCGCTGCAAACATGTCGACATTCCAAACAGGTTTCTGGACCGTGGCAGGATTTAAGAGACTGGAAAGAAACAATCAAGAGTGGCTGGGATTAGTTCTGATTGTGTATCCCTTGTGTCGATGAGGCCCGACGTCACTGCAAATGGACTGGGTGCCCCGGTATAGGTTTGCCTGGTGAGGCGCAGGTGCTCAAGGAAGTATACCGATGAATGGCCTGCGCCTCAGAGATTGTCAAGTAGGAGACACGAGGATAGAAAACGGTTGGGCCCGTCGATCGTTTTAGCTCGGTCTTTCTTGAATCTGGAGAAGGGTCTACCCCGCAAATTCTTGATGAGAGGGTGTCCTGTCAGCCTGTTGGGCTAGTGAGGCCACGAATGGCGTCGTTTGTGAGACAGACGTTCCCTTGAAAACTTCGACCAGGCTTTCCGAGAGAAGATGCTAGGATCCAGCCACCCATCCTCTGGTTTTCCCATCACTTGTCATGCGGTGTGGAGAGCAGGGCCTCCCTGACAGCGATTACGTCTCCCCGGAATGATGATTGCCTTGCGGGCAAGCTGCATCATCCCTAACTTCCAGTTTATTTGCTGATGACCCTTGTCCAGAACATACATCATTTACTGCTCAATCAAATAACGATCAACGGTGCCTGGTTTACGATGTCAAGCACGGTTTGCCTGGTCCTCGCCTGGCCGCATCCTTACCGATATTTAGACCCAATTCACGTGGGAGGATCTGAAACTCTACTGGGCACGGCAGGGACCCGGAAGCGGAATGGGGTGACGCGATGATGATCAAGTGGCGGGACAAAAATCAGGGCTGGGCAGCAAGTGTTCAGCCAGGCACCGCCCGCACCTCTCGGCTGTCGAACAAATCACCGAGCGGATTGATGCTGCCGGATGCGCGGTCCACATTGCCGGAATAGGCAGTTTGGCGTGCCGCTCAATCCGCGGATCACTCCCTCCGCACGCCGGAGCGGCTGCCCCGCGCGCATCGGGAGCCCGGGGTAGGGCATCTAGAGCGTGCCAAGTTGTGATGCGGCAAGGGCCAAGGGAGGGAGAAAACGCCTCTAAACGCGCAAGCGATCCACTGATCCGCTTTGCTTCACGGGATGCTGCAGGGTGCAGCTCAAACAGATGATGGGTGGCACGTTCCGTTGGGCTGAGACCCAGACACAAGTTGAGGCTTTGCGGTGTGTCACGTTAGGGTCAGGCGAAGCTCAGCGCCACGATCTTGCGTACCCAAACGTCATTCCTGACAGGTTTTATTTAAGAAAACATATTTTCGGCCTAGATAATCACGATGCATCTCTAGCTGAGCAACATCCATCGCCCCATGGTCCTCGTTTCTATCTATACACGCTCAACCAAACTAGCAATACCATCCCTCATACCCAAATTCGTTCAATCATAGACCATCGAAACGTTGGCACGCATCTATTCACTACCAAAATGCCGACCCGTCTATCCGAAGCTATTAAGCAAGATCACCGCAGGATCGAGCAAGCATACCGCTACATCCTCACGGCAGCTACACAAGAAGACAAGCTTCGTTGGAGAAATGAGCTTGCCCTCGAGCTTGCAAGACATTGTGTTAGCGAGGAACAAGTGCTTCTTCCAGCTCTGAAGCTTCGTCTTGCCGACGGCAACTCGAGGTGTGAGAAGAACTGCACGGACCGAAGGAGCGTAAGCGCCACCCTTGTCCATGAAGTAACACGATGGCAAACGGACGCTAACTCCAGTGATAACTAGCTGAAGGAAAAGATCTGCAAATTGAAGGCCATCCCCGTTGACGATGCGAGCTTCGAGCCCCAACTGAAGAGCCTCTGGGTAGACATGGCCGCCCATGTTCGCGATACCGACACTCAAGATGTCGCACGATTGGAAGAATGTCTCAGTATCACCGAGTCTGAACAACTGGCTGAAGAGTTCCGCAATACGATGTTCTTCGCTCCGACCCGAAGTAATCCGGCCGCTTCACACGGACCTCCATCGAAGCTAATAACGGACTTCCTGGCGACAAAGGAAGGTACCATCACCAACGCGGATCCTATTGTTGGTGGAACTCAATAGAGATGGATACAAATCAGATGGGATACGCGACTCACGACGCTACGATAATATGAAAACTGTAACTCAGATTCTTAGAAAACTCATAATTACTCATCATGCCTCCCAATATTCATGTTTCCTGTGCCTCTTCTCTCTGGCAAATTACATTGCTGTGGGCACTCACATGTATGCCCTGATGGCATTCAAGGCGTCGGATGCAGCTATGTACAAAACATTATTAAAAAAGAACACAAGAATTCTTTTTCGAATATTGTTCATGATCTGCTCAAAAAAATCCCTGCAGACTGCAAGTCTCGGCGCTGTAATTCGGCCGGCTCGGTGCGGAGTCGATGCCCTTAGGGTCCACGGTCGGCTCCACCTGCCGGAGTTTGTTCCGACACATTCCCATCATTTTCACGTCATGGCTAGGCCATGTGAACATCAAGCCCAGGAGATCCAGTTTTTTTTTTGGATGTATTTCATCTTTCCTGTATATTCGCTTATCTTAGCAACTTGGCTTCTCGACTTCAATTGGGCCCGGTGCTTTCCTAGAAGTCCGGCGATCAATTGATGCCAGGTCTCTTCGAATTGTCCTCGCGAACTCTCCAGTTCTCCCAGTCCAAATTTCGTCCTGTGTCAATCTGTTCAACAAACAAAACCCAGCAAAGCGCTGGAAACTGTAAATAAATTCTAAGGAGTTCGAGTCACATGCCCCGGAGTTATTCAGACTCAAAAACCTGTTATTTTGTTGGGTCATGCATGTCAAAAACGACGAACACCTGCGGCTTCACATGGGGGAATGATCCACCCCACCACTTTTCCAACTGGTTATCTGGGTCAGATCATTGGTCAAAAAGCATCATCCGGGCGAAATTCCAACGTTGCCAAGGACCTGACATCAGAAAGTAATCTGCGAAGCTACGCTGAAGTGGCAACAACAATGATCGATCCCTCCAATGATCCACAATCTGTGTACTCTGGTAGGGTTCTCCTTCAAGGGCCCTTCCGGACGAGTCGAGCTGAACCTGGGTATATAAGCTTAATTCCAAAATTGATCTGGATAATCCTTCTCGCTTTCATCCTGGAAGTCCACTCCTCAACTCACCCGAAGCAAACGAATCCAAGATGACACATCGAAGCGAATACAGAGACAATTACCCGCCTCATCTCCACAGGCATCATTCTCCAACATACTCAGACTACACCAGCGACCGGCCGGACTACAGCCCGACAAGGGACGCTGGCGCAGTGCGTGTCGCCCAAAGGCACTACGAATACCCTGATCGCAGCGGGCAGATCGAAGTCTATGAGACCGGCAGACACCGACCTCATGAGTATTATTATGATGAGAAGCCACCGCATTCCCGACCGAGATCACGAGACTATGAGCACGATCGCGGACATAGACACCACCATCACCATCATCACAGCAGTCGCAGCAAAAGAAGACACTCGAGTTCAGGCCCGAACTGGAGTCAGGCCGCCATCGCTGCAGCTAGCGCCGGTATCATCGAGGCCGGATTGTCGAGAAAGGACAAGGATCGCACTGCCAGAGTGATGACGGCTGCAGCAGGTGCTGGAGCTATTGACGCTGTCGCTGGGAAGAAGAACGAGAAGACACACAAGAGTTGGGAACACATCGTGGGAAGCACTGTCGGCGGGTTAGTTGTTGACCGTGTCGCGCATGGATCTGGACGACGATAGAATGGTGGAGATGTAAACCTTATGACGATATGAATGACTATGTAATATGCTTAGATTTTACCGACCGATCATGCGTAATGACTTGAGCGTTATTTGATGCTGCAATGCCCAGCCGGTGCTGCCCCTTAACTTCGCAACAGTGGACTCACTTCTTGTCTTAAAGGGGTCCTTCGTGTATGGAGCGTTCGTCCGACGTCGAGTATCATCAGCTGAGGGTTTCCATGGACCATTATTTCAGTGCAGGAGCTGGTCTCTAAATATCACGCGGAAAATCGGCAACCGGTGCCGTTATTGCGACCAAGTCGCGTTTCTAATTGATTTACTCGTCTGAACGCTAAGCTTTCGGACACGCAATTCGATGAGCGCGACATGGAAGGCGAGATCCCCGCCAGGCGAACCATGGTTGGATGCACCTCGGGCGCCAGACGATTCGCGGGGTTTCAACAAGCCTCAATCTAAATGCCGGATGAGACTGCCCCGCCAAGCCAACTTCGTCCACTACCGGCATCGACAATACTCCTGAAGTGCAACGACCTTCCTCCTAGAGCAACGGATGCTGATGCACCGGGGGCAAATCGGAGGTTAGTCTGTCTTTATGTCAGACCTAGTTCTCTCTGGCCTTCAGTCCTGGGTAGGCATGGAACGTCTAGCTCTGGGACTTGAGATATAAGAACCAGGTTGTTATCTGCTGAAGGCCGACTTGTTGTCTGTATCAGACCATCGAAGTCAGCCATCATGAAGTTCCTCAACCTTCTCGCCGCGGTCGGTCTCTCTCAGGCCCATACTATCTTCGTCTCCTTGGAGGCTGATGGTGTGAACTCTGGAGTGTCCCAGGGCATCCGAACCCCTTCATACGATGGCCCTCAGACAGATGTCACTTCCCAGTACATCGCCTGCAATGGCCCGCCGAACCCGACTACCCCTACCGACAAGGTGATCAGCGTCACCGCCGGATCAACCGTCACTGCTATTTGGCGCCACACCTTGACCAGTGGTGCTGACGATGTTATGGATGCAAGCCACTTGGGACCTACTATCACCTACATGAAGAAGGTCAGCGACGCGAAGACTGATACCGGTATTGGTGACGGCTGGTTCAAGATTCAAGAGGATGGATACAACAACGGTGTTTGGGGTACCTCAAACGTCATCAACAACCAAGGCCGCCAGTCCATTACTATCCCGAAGTGCATCGCGAGTGGACAATACCTTCTCCGAGCTGAGATGATTGCCCTGCACGGCGCCAGCTCGTACCCAGGAGCTCAGCTGTACATGGAATGCGCCCAGATCAATGTCGTCGGCGGAACTGGAGCTAAGACCCCGTCGACCGTCAGCTTTCCCGGTGCTTACAAGGTAAAGAGCGCACCCTTCGGGTTTATGAAATCAGACTCTGACACCAGACTTAGGGAACTGACCCCGGTATCACCATCAACATCTACTACCCGCCAGTCACATCCTACACGATCCCAGGGCCTGCTAAGTTTACTTGTTAAATGGATTGATGGATCGAGTATGCCTCCAAAATGATCACATGGGCAATACATCGTGTTCCAAGACTGTACATCGTCTGGATGATTACCTGGCACGCAGGATCGTGATAAACTAGATCTGCCCGATGCTCGGGCAACGTCTGGGAAGGAGATAGTCCATATGAACAAATTGAGAAACTTCCTTTACGGAGTTCAAGACAGGCCGCGGAGCTGGCATTCATGTCGACAGCCTCCATGCAACCTTGGACGTGGTCTCCACCGGTATTTCCTGGCTTGCAGATATACGACTGTCGCCAAGGCAAGTACAAGGAGCTTAGCCAGATACAAAATGTGTCAGTTGAGACTAGAATCATTATCTAAGTGTGCAAGGTTTTCTCTCGGGGGTTGACCCTAATCATCGATTGCGACATTCCCAATGACCGAAGATAGCGGACTTACATGTGCGTGGTGGGTACGCGTTCGGACATGCTCGGGGGTGCATGTCCGGCGGAGCCTATTTCTTTGCTCGCACAAGGCAGCTACTTTTGACTTGACTGATTTCGTACCCTATTAAGACCGAAAGAAGTGCACTCTTTTTACAAAACGTTCAGACCAAAGTTCTTACTGTCACAGTTTACGGACCTTGCCGTTTCTGCCTTTCGCGCATTACAACCGAACGAGCCCGTCGTCATCAACAGAATGAACACTTCCACCAATGATGTCCAAGTCTCCCCTGACGAAATCAGGGCCAAGTTTTCAATGGCATTGTCTGAAATGTACCGCGCAGAGGTTCCTCAATACGGATCTCTGGTGAACATTGTGTCGGAAATCAATCGTCAACAAGATCAGAGCGCTTCGAACAACACACAACACCGTCTAGAGGTTGAGAGACACGGTGCAATTCGTCTCGGCACCGCCTCCGAGCTTCAAATGATCCGACGCCTATTTTCAATCATGGGTATGCATGCGGTCGGCTATTACGATCTCTCAGTTGCTGGTTTGCCTGTCCATGCAACTTGTTTCCGGCCTCTTACCAGTGACGCACTAGCCCACAACCCCTTTCGCGTCTTCACCTCTCTGCTGAGGCTGGATCTCATCAACGATCATGAGTTGCGCTTGTGCGCGGAAAGGGTCCTGAGTGATCGGAAAATCTTCACGCCTCGATGCATCCAGCTTATTGAAGAGTTGGAGACCCTCACGTCAGTGTCTATGGCAAAAGCAGACGAGCTCATTATTGAGGCTCTAGAGACTTTTCGGTGGCACAAGACTTCGACGGTCGGTCTACAGACGTACAGACGTCTTCAAGAAGCTCATCCCTTGATCGCAGATGTGGTGTGCTTCAGAGGACCTCATATCAACCATCTTACGCCTCGTGTTTTGGACATCAAGGCCGCTCAACTAGAAATGCCTAAGCACGGCCTGCAGGCGAAAGACACAATAGAGGGGCCACCATCCAGGCAGTTCCCCATTCTCCTCAGGCAAACCAGTTTCCTCGCTCTCGAGGAGGACATTGCCTTTTCCGATGGTTCCGAGAAAGGTGGTAGACACAAAGCGCGATTTGGGGAGATTGAGCAGCGAGGCATTGCTCTGACTCCCAAAGGCCGGCGCTTATACGATGATCTGTACAGCAAATTTATTCGCGAGCAAGATCAAGGACCTTCGAAAGAGGCTGTTCTGATCCAGACTTTCCGGGACTTTCCTGACGATCTACATATCCTGCGTCAACAACAGCTTGCATACTTCACCTACCGTGTGATTGGAAAACCAGATCCTAGGATATGCGATTTGGATGATATTGACGCTTTGGTGGCGTCCGGTATCTTGATATTTGAGCCCATCACGTATGAGGACTTTCTCCCTGTGAGTGCGGCAGGAATCTTCAATTCAAATCTCGGCGCAGACGCCCTCAAAGCCAGCGCAGTCTCTTTTGAAGACCAAGATGCTTTCGAGAAAGGTCTCGGCTGCGAAGTGCTTGACAGCTTCGACTTGTATCAGAGAATAGAGGAGACATCTATGCAGGACTGCCTCGAAATATTGAACATGTGTAAATAGATTGTCGAATGGCATAGTTGCAGCGGACCAATATTTGTTTCCTATTCAAGAACTGATGATTTGATTTTCTGGGACTGACAATGTGATTCGCGTATGTCGTCTTCGTTTCGAGGACTCGAGTGGCTAAAGATTCATTCACGTCAAGGCCGAAGAAGAATCATGTATCATAAACAGTTAGCTTTCAGGATATGATGATTCGATGCATCTCAAAGACTCAGAGCGTAAGTATTCAAATCGAAAGCCCCCCCTCGACACTCTTGTTCGTGCAAAGGGGAGCTGTCTCTTACATGATGTCTGATGTGTATCTCTACCTTATTCATCTATGTTACTTGTGTGGAGACTTGCGGTATCTTAACCTTCAAGTGCGAAGTCGACAGCAGCTCGAGCATGTACAATGCTAGTGTCGATAATTGGTACGGAGCTATGCTGTTCCTTCACTATAATTCCAAACTCCGTGCATCCGAGAATGATAGCCTCAGCCCCTCTAGCTATCAGGTCCTCAATAGCCGCTTGGAACTTGAGTCTTGTTTCCTCTAAGAAGATGTTTTTGGCCAACTCGTTATAGAGAGCGTGGTGTATATTCTCTTCATGGTCTCCTTCAGCCACCAACACCTCCAATCCAAACTTGTCTTTCAGACGGCCAATGAAGTAGGTGCCTCGCATCGTGTAACGGCTGCCAAGCAAGCCCACGGTCTTGCATCCCATCCCGATAACCCTCTCAGCGGCAGCATCGACGATATGAACTAATGGCAGATCGACGTTTTTGATGATGAAGTCGCCGGCGGTGTGAACCGTGTTGCATGCCAAAAGAAAGAAGTCGGCCCCAGCCGCCTTCAGCTTATTTGCTTCAACGGCAAGAAGCCGTCCGACCTCATCCCAATGTCTCTCCGCCTGGGCTTTTTCGATGAGTGCGAAGTCCGTTTGCGCGAGGACAAGTTTTGGGGTGTGAAGGTTATCGCTTCCACTCTGCGTTTTGAAGTATTCGTGGATTTCTTTGTAGTAAACCAAGGTGCTGGGCCAAGCAATACCGCCCACAATGCCAATGGTTTTCATTGTTGAGTAACTTGAGCCTAGTTGCCGGTTTAGACTGATGACTGGATAGTGTCGAGCAAGAGACAACTTACCGACGAGCTCAGGATTCGCAAATCGTATATCGTCCTAAGCCAGCACAAAACTCCAATGACACGGAAGTCGAAGTTTTACATATGGTCGTAACCAAAATTGGAGATCCAAGTATTTCGAAGTCTATCAGCCAACCTGTTCGTCGTCGGTTCCAACGAGAAAGTGGGGCCCGGTTGCTTCAAAGTCCGATTCGGACATCAAACATCCGAGGTAAATCTCCTTTCTCCCATCGCATTACACACCATGTTCGGATCTCTCCTCATCGCAGCACCACCGAAAACTCGCATATCCAATTGAAGCGACTCCGAAAAAGACAGTGCTCGGCTTTTTCGTCTTCCAGAAACTGCGTCTGGCCAAGTAACCTCTTCCGGAGTCCTCCCGGTCTGACACGATGACATCTTCGGCAGATGCTCGGGATTCTCCGTTGTCGTCCAGAAGACACGGAACTCGGGCCAAAACCAACGCTGGCATCTGCCACACCTGCAGTAACTGCCGGAAAAGAAAGGTGAAATGCGACGGTCAACGTCCTCTATGTGGCACATGCCGATCGAGAAACTTGGCCTGCGAATACCCAAAAGACGCGAGAAAGACAGCGGTCCGGACAAGAAGGGAAGATGTCAAGTCCCTGCAGAAACAAATCGAAGATCTTAGGAGGCAAGTTGGAGACTCGCCAAGCAATGCTGCATCTCAGACAGCAACCGGTCAGGACGAATCTTGTGCCCACGAACGGCGTAACAATACGGGCATTGAAACGGTTCAACCAGAAGAGTTGACTGCGTCGGCGCAGTATGGAACTACCTATCTCATTTTCGACGACAGATCATCCACATCTAGAACCTCATTCGCGCATAGGACCCCTGGCTCTACCGCAACTGTCACCCAAGATATACTCTACGCACAAAATTCGGCGCCTACTGATGAGACACTGATACGAGATACCCAAGATGACCAAGAAATAACTCAGGAAGCCGAAGGCGTTCAGGTCTACGGAGCTACAAGTCTATTGCATGACCATACATCAAGATCATCACTCGTCAATGCACGACAGCGACTTGCGGGCAACAATTCCCTGGTGTGTAAAGAGGCTATAAAAGACCGGCTCTTATCGAACGCTGCTATAAGAAGGCAAGAAGAGCTGATGCTTCATTCATCACCAAGCATCACAGCCAACATTGACTTCGACGGGGTCCCAGCAGACACCGCGATGCACTTACTCGATTTACACTGGAACCGGCAACACCTGTCGTATCTTCTGACATATCGGCCGGCGGTCATGGACAGTCTCGTCAGAAACGGTTCTTACTCCAACAAACTTTTGCTGAATGCGATATATCTGCAGAGCAGTCTGTATAGTGACCGCACTTGCCTTCGGCTCAACTCCGAAGATCCACAGAGCAGAGGAATGGCATATTACAACCGTTTCAAGGTCTTACTAGCCGATCATGTTGACAAACCCACAATACCTACTGTTGTGGCCTTATTGACGTGCGGCGCATGCTTAGTGCCTCGTGGCATGCAAAGTGCTGGCTGGATCTTCTGTGGCATTGGATATAGGATGCTTACCGATATTGGTTGCCATCTCGATCTTCAGACAGTCACCATTAACAGTTCAAACTACCGCAGCTCTGCTATTGATCTGGAGCTTCGAAAAAGAGTTTACTGGGGGGCCTACGTAGGAGACATGCTCCAGTCCCTCTTCTTAGGGAGGTCTCCCACTATGCCTGAAGTGCATGGAACCGTCTCTAGGGAGTATTTTGACTCTTATGAAGAGCTAGAAGAGTGGAAACCATACCTCGATCCCTTGATCGAGCCCTTGGATACTCTCGTATCGTCTTATCAACCACGGCCCTCATATGCCCTCAGCACCTTCCAAAGCCTTCTTCAGCTATGCGACATCATGGGCCGAGTAATCCGAGCATTTTACTCGACAGCCAGTGCAGAGACCTCCAAAGAGACCTTACTAGGGGAGCGAGACAGGATCAGGGAACAGCTTTTGACGTGGAAAGCGGAACTCCCAGGATGGCTCCAATTCGAACCAGGGGTTGATGCCACTCCGCCACCACATCAGATCACACCCCAGTAAGTTATCCTTTGCGTGAATCCACTTCATTTTCGCTGACACAACAAGTGCCATATTTTGGACCTTGATCATCCTAACTGAGCAGGCATTCCTTAATCGCGGCCACTTCCCGTTCACTTTGGACACCGAATCGACAAGACAGGCTGAAGAGAGATGCCTCAGCGCCGCTTTCCGTATTTGGAAGCTTGTTGAGGTTTATAAGCAGACCTTCACCCTCCGTCGCGCTCAGTATGGCATATCATATGCAAGTTACTGTGCGGTTGTAGTCATACTGCAGCAGGCTAGCCATGACTCTGAGGAGCATATCAAATGCATCCGCTTCTTTTGGCTTGCTTTACTTGAGTATCAGAGAGGATGTAACTACGGCTTGAAACGGCCCCTGAAGTTACTGAAGTCGCTCATGCGTCGGTTGGAAGGAATCGCGCAGGATAATGAACCGGAGGATACGGGTGGCAACAACCAGCAATTACCGGGTACGTCACCTTGAAATTCTCAATACACTGTTCAATGTTGATGACGAATTCAGACCTCCAAGCGGACTTCAACTCTTTATTCGGTTCGCTGCGCGGAGCCGAGAGGGTGGCCTCGTGGCACGGGGTTCCAGACTTGTGGGATCCATCAGCCAGCACCAACCTGCTTTTCGAAGATGCAAACTTGGGTGTCATAGATGATAGTGTCTTTGGGTTCTGTATGTAGTGCGATGGCTTGTGGTTATACTACAGGAATGAGAGGCCATAGAAGATCTCACTTAAGTTATTTCCAGTGTCAGTCAGTCATGCAGAAAGATTGGGTGGCGTGGCATTCATTGCCCTCAATTCATGCACACATCAGGGAAAAGATGGTCCTCGAAACTCTTAGCCGAATTGTAGCGAATTATATGGCGGCTGACATCGCAGCCAAGAGCAGGCGTTCACGCGAATCTTCGAGCACAACCGAATGTTGGGGCACCAATACTGGCTGTTTTCACACTTCAACGGAAGGGAAGTTGTACGGAACTGCGCCAGCCGGCGCAGGATTCCAGTCTAGATCTCTTCCATCGCTGTCTGCGAATCGTCATTGGTTTGTTGGAACTAGGATGTCTGCATTTGCTGGTGGCAAACCTCACGCCAGTTACTATGAGGAACGCATGAGGCCCAGCCCACGTGGCGGAGCCGGCATCCTTCGAACCATCGATATTGACATTTTGCAAAACTGGAGAAGCTGGTGGAAGATATCTCGTCCTCTTGCTGACTGGGTGGAATTCGATCAATCCATGAGTTGCAACAGCAGAGACCTTTTGCAGGCCGCGTTTTCGACTGGTCTCTGAGAAACCTGACGGATGTGGCGCAGGCCTGTGAAATGATTAATGCACATTATTATTGTTGATCGACGTGCTTTGCTTCAACGTTGCACATCTGGCCTTGACATCACATTTGCTCATCCGACGGCCTTTGGTTTACAACGCTCAATGAGACATGATGGTCCTAGACGAGAATCCATGGCAGTCATGCGGTGGGAGACAAGGTCAAATGGCAGGATTTCCCCCATGAACCGTTAAGATTTGCTCGCTTGGATACGGCAGCTTGAAGAACGTTCTGGATCGCGATCAATAACTGGATAATGCCAGCCTTCTCTCTGGGCGCCTTCGAGCAAAGCGCACTTGCTCTCCGTGGCCCTGGTGTTCGGGACCCTGAGCGCCATGCAGCACCAGACACCATCCCCACATGGCTCGACTAGGGCTGTGATCCTTCGGATACCTCCCGGCGCAATAGCACCGCAGGCCAACGGACAGCTCGCCGTGCTATCCTATCTTGACTTGGTGCTTGTATTATGAGACACTTGGAGATTGGACGTTCACTGGTTTCCCACCCCGAATCCTTCTTGCTAACTGGACCATTTTGCCTGCTATGAGCTGCGTAGTATTGCATACTTGGCGTGGTCAATGGCTCGGGCTTCGGCGGGATGTCAACAGATAAATCGACAGGGTTACCCACGACGGCAGCCGGCAAGACAAGGGTGCCACATTTGATCCTCGTCCTTTGCTCTGTAAGCTGCAGCTAATCGTTCCAACGGGAATGGTCAATGTTGGCAAGCATGCGGTTACAACAGCTCGCGCCGACGTTCTGCAGGGGCAAATGACATTCTCGGCGAGCAATATTGGATTGCTCCGATGCGACCGTATCATATACAAAGCTACGGATTCCAAAGAAACCCAGAGGAACCCGCATAAATAATTCCATGCCGCCGCAGCATGGTTGACTTTCTCTGTTGTTGGTTCTCTATCGCTCTCATTCAACTTGCCAATTGACTGGAAGGGACCCGCGACCGCCAACCGTCAAGTTTCGTATTGATAGCCATTCATTCTTTCTACCTTGTTCCAACATGGCTGCGCGTATTGCCGCCTTCTTCAGCGCCCTGTCACTTGTGACTGCGGTTGCGATTCCAGACAGTGCTGCCACCAAAATCATCCACAGAGATATTGTTATTCTCGGCGGAGGCGCGTCCGGCTCTCACGCCGCCCTCAGGCTCCGCGAGGACTACAACAAGACGATCATTGTTGTCGAGAAGCAAAGTCGCATCGTAAGTCTGGATCTCAGAATTAGAAATCACGACATTTCATTTACACAATCATCTTAGGGTGGCCATGTTGCGACATTTACTGACCCGGAAACGGGCAACAACTACGACTATGGAGTAAACTCCTACACCGATTACACTGGCGCACGCGAATTTGTCGCACGCCTCAATATCCCGGTTATGACTCCTGCACGATTGTCCCTCACTACCACGTACGCCGACTTCACGACAGGCAAGTTGACCAACTACTCGTTACCTGCCTCCGCCGACATCACCGCTGCGCTGAGGACCTACCTTGAGCTCTGCGAGACGTATGAGGAGAACATCCTCCCCTCCTATGCCAAGTTCCCAAACGCTACTGAGGGTATTCCGGAGGATCTCACCATGCCCTTCATCGACTTTGTCAAGAAGTACGACATCGAGGCTGCCGTTCCTCGTATCTTCCAGGTCACTGGACTTGGCATGGATGACTTCGCGCACCAGTCCACGCTGTACGTCATGCAAACGTTTGGCGCGCCGATCACCCGTTCTTTCTTGGGGGTTGTGGGTTCTTTCGTGCCCGCCTCCAAGAGAAACCAAGACATCTACGACGCGATCGCCGAGCTGCTTGGGGACGACGTCATGTACTCTTCCACGGCGATGAAGACTGCCCGTTCTGACAATGGCGTCGAGGTACTTGTCAAGAGCGCTGATAACACGCGAACTCTCATCCGCGCGAAGAAGCTTCTTATTTCCTTCGAGCCTACTCTTCACAACATGCAGGGTATCGATATTGACGAGGAAGAGACCTCTGTCTTCGAGAAATGGAACTGGTCCACTGTTTACGCCGGCATCGTCTCCCACCCGGCCATTCCCAAGCTTTTCTCCTACACCAACACTGCCCCATCTCGATGGCTCTCGCTGCCGGAGCTTCCATTCGTCGGTCGCTTTGACTATCTCGGAGACGACAACTACCGTGTCCTAGTCGGTGGTGACAAGAACTACAACAGCTGCGAGGCACAGAAGCTGGTCAAGAGGTCACTGAAGCAACTCGCCGCTGCTGGAACCGTTCCTAGCCTTGGCAATGACACTATTCAGATCAAGGCCTGGGCCGATCACGGCGCTATGCAGCTTCACTTTGAGAGGGACGATCTTAAGGCCGGTGCCATCACCCAGCTTTACACGCTTCAGGGCCGCAAGAGCACCTACTTTACTGGCGGTGCCTGGTCCGCTCAGTTTACCACCATCCTCTGGGAGACAAACAACCAATATGTGTTGCCTAAGCTGTTGGCAGAGTTCTGAAGGCTCGGCGTTGCCCAAGCTCACGCATCAGAGTAGTAGTAATAATCCCCATAGACGTAATTTCAGCGTATTTGCAATAATTGTACAAGCCTTGTGTCGATCATCCATGAAATTATACTTGCCCACCATCTCATGAGACCATTGCACACTCCAACTCCTCAAATGAGTTGCCCCCTCCCGCCGAGCCCTGATGGATTTGTGCCTCGCCTCCCTCGGACCACAATCCACCTGCCATTCAAAGTATCCTCCCGACAAAGCTGGGGCAAGGAACGGAGGAGTCGCTCCATCAGGATCGCATTTCGAACCAACATGAGGTTGCATTGAGACTGGGGCCAACTCCACCGGTGTTTGTGCGTCCCGTCCGGGGTCCCGGCCAGAGATCCCGGTCGTAGCGGCCCCCCCCGGTCGACGCAGGAGCGCAGGATCGGATCCGGGCCAACGAGAGCAAAGTCATTCCGTTGACTCCGGGCATCAGTTTGGAGGATCTTTGCGGACTACTGCGTCTCACAGGGATGATAGAGAGTACAACCGCGTCGTGGCGAGCCGGGCTTGGACACTGCCCGTTTCCCGTCAAATTTGATCCGCGCTTCAAGCACATACCCTGTCGCTGCATTTCGATGGCCAACCGACTTTTGAGCATGTCAAGAAAACTTTTCGCACTGAAGTCTTGGTAAAGCGGAGAAAGCGCACAATGGGCCATTAGTGAGAGGATCAATCTCGGCGTCCGTTCTCCCATCGTCCGATCTATTTCACGGTGACTTCCGTGGTCTTCATAATACCCCTGGCGCTTTCCTTTCGGCCCCCATGCAGTATTCTCTCCTCGCTTCCCGATCCGTCGCCATTGTCATGCTTGTAGAACGTCGCTGTGGTCGTTGTCGCACCCTTGACGTTGCTCAAGCTTTGATCGCTGTCCGCTGACGCCATATCATCCAGTTCATATTGATCTCTCACAGCGTGCGTTCCCCCACTGCGCATTGTATGACGACGATTTCCTGTTCCACCGGTTCCTCCAATTGTTGCCAGTGTCGGGTGCTTCTTGGAACCGTTATTAGGTGTTTCGTTTGTGTAGTCGTCGTATGAGGTTAGGCGGAGCATTCGGCCAACGAGGGGTTTGAATGTTGGGGCACATGCAGCGATGATCCCCAGCTGTAGTTGAAGGCTATGACTTGTCAGTGAAGTTCATAGAATCCAAAGTAAAAGAGCTGGGTATGCCTACAAGCCCCAAAATTGAATCGACTGCTCGAAAGTCTTGTCCGGGTTCGCGCCAAAGCCAATTTGGTAAATTGCTTTGACAATGCCCATGGCGACGGCACTGAGTAACAGAGTTAGAACACGCATTCTCATTTTATGGAACGATTGACTTACAAGTATCCGAGACTTAGAATGCCGATGACATACAGTCGCACTTTTCGTTTCATTTGAAGGTTCCAAATCAAAGGAATTGGCAATGTAGCCAGAACAACGTCAGTGAAGATATTGAGGGCTGTACATCTTGTTAACAAGTGACATCCAAATCCGAAGAAGATCGAGCTGAACTGACCTGTGTTCATAATTCCCAATCCTACAAAAACTTTGATCGGCCAACATGTACCGGCGACGGTTTTGTCCCAGAAGCGAGCTGTCGGCTGGCAGTAAAATGTGAAGGTGAACACCCCGCTGCCTGACTGGATGAATGTGAAAACTGTCAAAGTCAGCATTCAATCGTGAATGAATAAGCAGTGAGCCCGTACCAATGATGAACCATAGACCCCATTTGTACCACTTCTTAGCCCCAAGTCGAAGCAGATTCAAACTGATGGATATCTTGAGAAACATGATCCCGAGAGCGGCAGAGATGATGGACTGAAAAAGACCGGCATGCTGAAGTTCGACAAGTTCGGGCTTTGGTATGGAAGCTTGATGTTTGCCCAGACCATAATGGGATTGAATGATGAAGACGATCCAACCTCCCAATGCACAGAGCTGAAGACGCCAAGTGGTTAGCTTGAAATGATCATTCCGTTGGGGTCACACGAAGCTTACTATTGTCAACACCATTACCCAATCATCCCATCCAGGTGCTTTGATGAGCCATATTCTCGCGTATAATCTCAGACTCACACTGATAAAAGCCAATGCGTGAAAGATGGTAACCACCGTGACGATACGCACAGTATTGCTTTCTGTGTGGCATGCCTCATCGCACGGGATCGCAGCCCCCGCAGCGGACATGGTTGACTAGGTTTGGAAGTCGGCAGAGGTGGTCGTTCGTAGTCCGGTCGAGGTCATGTCTCGGCCGCGAACGCTGGGACTAATATCCTCGTAAAGTGCTGAACAAAGGAGCTGTTTGAACTTGGACCATGATGGAAGTGTGCAGCAGAATGTATCTTTTAATCTAGCCCAAGGCAAGATGCAGAACAAATTGCCACGGGATCATCGACCGAGAGTTCGGTTCAAACTTTCGACGATACAGTGGGGAACTGGGAATCGGACCGGGAAGCGATGCGTGCGTTATCGCTTTCGAGAGTCTAGGCTCGGTTAAGGTGAACGTTTTCCCAAGGTTTCTTCACTGTTGGACTGTTCAGTAGCCATGGGATGCGCCAGGTAGCCGGGTACGTAGGAGGCACGCATGCAGCTTTGCCGGAGATTCATAGCCTTGGAGTTACAGATGCAGGTATTTCTCAAATAGGAATCTGCCCAGTTTACGCCACATACACCCAAGCCTCGTCTTTTCAAACCACGGAAGAGGACAAACAACCAGGTCCAGGCTGGTGAAGCGGTTGAAAGCACAGACATGACGCGTGAGGTTGGGACAGAAACTATCCTGCACTCGAGAGCCACATCCTGGCCACCGGTGACAACCGTTGAAAATAGAGCCAGATACGAATGCAAGACCCCTTGACATGGAGCTACCCGAGTGAAGCGAGAAGGGAGAAAAGTCACCACGGATCACATTTTCTCATCGGTACTAGCGCATGCTGCGAACCTCTACGCGAGATTCGACTTTCATTGCTCCAACCCAATCACATATCAGATGCAGGGTAGCTTAGTTGAACCAACAGCTGGTCAAAGGCTTCTGAAGGGTGTTGGAGGAACCAACTGCATAATTAGCATGCTGATGGAGTTGACCCTTGCAGCGGACAGGGGTAACGATCCTCAGGCCTGAGCGTGCCGTCCTCCCCCGGCGCGGCGTGCGGCGGAGACCTCCTGTGCCGGGGTGCATTCTGGCTGATCACTGACCTTGCAGATATCTCGTTGACATGGAGGCGGATAGAAAATTATGGTACGATTCGCTCGCCTAAATGGCTCTGAACAATTGGGAAAATGAGCACAGATGGCGGCGACCAAGACTAGATACGCCTTTTCCATCTCAATGCTACGTGAACAGCTCTCGTGCCGCACATAAGACACAGAGAAGCCTTCTTAGTAATAGTGATCAACTACCTTACTGATAAGATCAGGTTGTGGTTTTAGCCGTGGCGAAACATCCTATAGAACGGGGTAGATTTTGTAGGAGAGTTGACAGCGGCGGATTGGCTCTCAGCGGCAAAGGTTTGTGATGTGAAAATAACCTTGATAACGATGCGAACACATTAGCTCAAAGCTGAAAAACTGACGATAAAGTGGGTTTCGATGGAAAACTCCTCAAGCTGGAGCAGGGATTGAACGATCCAATCGCTTCTCTTGCGCTCCGTTACTTCTTTCTAAATCTGAGACCTTGAATACATGTTTTGCATGGAAGCTCGGGTTTCAATGAGATGTCCTGCGAAACTTAGCCTCGATATAACCATGTCGTTGGAAGAGTCGTTATCCGACCATACAGGATGAGCGAAGAACACTGTCCAACACAGGAGACGGGCTGGAGGGACCTTGGAATGAGTGAAAAGCTACGAGAAAGAGGAAGCAAACACGAAAAAGAAATTCGTAAGAGGGTCTGGACAAGTACCAACAGACCGAAGCCCAGCGACCGACCAACACGCAAATAACCATGCGCCGCCCGATCAGCGCCGCACAGGCGCATACATCGAACCATTGCAATAAACAAGGGATTTTACCTTGAATCTGGGCCGTCTTCCCCGGCGCCGTCTTTTTGCAAATACTTACGTACTAAGATCCAGGCTTCATGTTCTTCAAGCCTGTGGTTACAGACATCCAAGGGCCACAGAATACCTACGATCGGTTCCATATGGCTAGGTTGACAGCTGAGCCATTGTTCTATAGCCCAGTAATCATGTTTTACAAAGCGCTTCGGGTGGGCAATCAAAATCTTTATCAATCAAATAACATATCTAACGATTTACCTCAAGTGAACATCGGTGCTGAGTGGTGTGTATCTCCATTCATTTTTATGGTTGGGTTGCCTGGGGGCCCGGAGGTCAACCAGATGTAAGCAGGGAACCAACAAGAACCACATCGATATAACACAAACACCAACTCACTGGCTAGGTCTTCTAGATTTCCCAATCCATTTCGGGTCTTATGCCTGTTTCACGCAATCTGGACCGGGTCAAAGGAGGAATTAGCGACTTGCCAAGAGGGCTTGGGACATTAGCGGATGTGATTCAAAACTTGGGGCAATAAGAACGATTAATCAGAGCTCCAATTCTCTCCAGATAGTGATCAGTCCAATTTTAGACACTAAGAGGCTTGGTTCCCCACGAGGCGCGACCTTTGCCCAGTGGTGTCACATTTGTGCCGGGCCAGTTCTACAACATGGCCGGACATATTTAGTACGAATGCCGCCGTCATCGACTATGCGCAGTATGAATGCCACAAGCATTTGCACAGAATCAAAAGGCGTCACCAGACCTTGTGAGTCTTTACAAATACCTCCCCCCCCCCCCCCCCCCCCCCCCCCCCCCCCANGCTTTTTAAAAACCCCCCCCCCCCCCCCCCCCCGGCGACTGACATGTGATCGAACAGTTTGGATATTTCGGATGCGCATCGCCGGGCTTCCTCCGGGCCCTGGACCGATTGCCGATCCGGCCGACCTCCGATCGGGCATCCCACTTCCAGAGCTCGCACATTATCCGAGCCATGTCCGCTCCGTAAGGTACGGGTACATCCGGCTCATATTATTTCCTCAGAAATCAGGCCGTCTGAATCGCTAAAGATATGGGGTACATGAGTCCCCGCTTGAGTACCCCTTTCGCGGTCCATGATACCGGAAGTTCCGGGGCAACGAACCTCAGCCATCACCGGAAATGCCGAGGGAATCACCGTTCACATTTACGTCACGGCAAATTGGCTTCATGGGCGAATTTGTGGTTTAGGAGCGATTTCTTGTACATCTAATTACTTCTTTACGCTTCATTGAATGCATGGCTGATATGTACAGTAGAAAAGTGTATACAGGCAAAAGTAATTAAGCTTAAGCTTAAACGCAGTTCCAGCTCTCAGGGATGTTGGGGTCTCCAGAGCCAGAGTAGACGTTGCGGGTAGGGTACTTGCAGTGCTTCCTCGTGAACGCGACGCCCGCATCCTTGGTGCCATTGACGTACGCAGTTCCGAGGATCGACTCGGGGGCGATGCCGTCCTCGACCCAGTGGACGATGGCAGACAGCACGTTGCCCTCCGCCTCGTATCCCGCAACAGCGGCAGGCTTGTTGCCGATGAAGGTCGCGCCGGGGCCGCCGCTGCAGTGGTTCATGCCCGAGATGCGGAAGTAGCGGTAGAACTCGTCGAGCTGCGCGGAGGTGAGGCCCATGGTGCGCGAGACGTGGTTGTAATAGCGGGCGGAGTTGTCGCTGCTGATGATGGGGTCCTGGAGGCCGTGGTAGTGCAGGATTTTGGTGCCGCGGTCCTTGACGCCGGAGAGGTCGCCCTTCCAGGTGGCGATGTCGAAGGGGTTCAGGTCTGAGGAGTAGGCCATGTCCTTGACGGTCAGGGTGGCAGGGTCCCAGTTGGGGTCGTTGTAGACGACGTAGCGGAACCAGTCTCTGGTGTAGGGGAAGGCGGTGCCGGTGAGGAGGATGTTGGTCGCGTCGGCGCCGGGCTGGAGGCGGGGGTAGACCAGGGAGCCGTCGACGCCGTAGACGTCGGAGAAGACGGAGCGGACGGTCTCGGCTTGGGTGCCGGTCAGGCAGTTGGTAGAGTTGCCGGCGCCGCAGATGAGGGACTCGGGGCGGTACTGGCACAGGTCGGGGTCCTCGATGATGCCGTCGACGTGTCCGTCAAGACCGTCGCACTGAGTCAAGACGTCCTTAACAACGAGAGCCCACTGGTCCTTAGAGAGGAACGTGGGAGAGCCCTCAGTGCCGGTGGCCAGGAGGAAGTGGCCGCTCCAGGAGGTGAGGTTGTTGAAGGAGAAGGCGGGGGCGCCAGCCACGATACCGTCGAAGTCGTCAGGGAAGTCCTGGGCCTCCTTGAAGCCCTGTCTTCCACCCGTGGAGCATCCGAGGTAGTAAGATCTGGTGTGCTCCTTGCCGTAAAAGGCCTTGGTCACGTTCTTGCCGACAACGACGCCGGTGTGAAGGGAGCGGTAGGCAAAGTCCTCGATAACGCCGGGGTTGTTGTAGAAAGGCTCGCCAACGGTTCCGTTGTGGCCGTTGTTAGCACCAACAGTCGCGAAGCCGCGGGAGGTGGCGTAGGCCATGTCCTCGTACTGGATGCAGCCGCCGGTTCCTCCGTTGCCGGTGCTCAGGAAGCGGCCCGTCCAGTTGGAAGGGAGCCAGGCCTCGAGGCTGATGTTGCTGGTGGCGCCAGTGGTGACCAGCATCGAGACACGGCAGAGCTCGACATCGACAACCTGGCTGGTGCCAGAGCAGGTCGGGTGGCGCTCGGGAAAGGTCAGGTTGGCGCCTGCGGGCTCAACGTTGGTGAACCAGACGGTGGTGTTCTCGTAGGCGAACGACTTTGCGAAGTTGGCGCAGTCGTCGGCGAAGGCGGCCATGGCGACCTGGGCTGCCGGGAGCAGCAGCGCTGCCGAGGTAGTGAACGACTTCATCTCGGAGAAGGGGTGTTGTTGAACAGGACAGAATCCGAGCTGGAGAGGAGGACAGGTGCCAAGTAGATCCATCCAGGACGATCGTCTCTTGTCGGGGCCGGGGCGGTTCTTATATGTTGGCAGATGCAACCTGGGCCACGCGGCAATGGACCTGACCTTGCAAATTTGACGACGTCAAAGTGTTCATCTCAACGGCCCCGGCACCGCGATGCGACGTCGTTCTCCTTCCAAACAGTCGCCCTCCCTCGGCGATCCCATCGGGGGAAGATGCCGGTGTACGGAGGAGCTCTTCATAAGTTTATGCCCGAAATGCCAAGACTTTCGTACCGCAGATACCCCGTTAACGTTATCAGTACCTAGAGGTACAGGGATCCGGAATAACCTCACTACTTAGGCCCTAGGAGGGTCCCTAGAAGCCCCTAGTAGGTCGGATTATCTGATAACGTATGTCCTTTCTGGGGTCTTGATGTACCTATGATATTCCGGACCCACAGCTACTTCTGAGCGTGGGCAAGGACTTTTGAAGAGCTCCTCTGTAGCTGTGGTGTGGAGGGACGGCACTTGGCACCGGCATGCCATGGATGCTGAATCAAGTGCACCACCAGGGCCTTGACGACTGACAAGCCCCCAATTGACCCAGCTGAGCTTAGCTGTGTTTTTTCCCCACGACGAAATAAACTTGAGGGGGATGAACCATGCATCGGCAATAGCGAAGTGCGGAGAAGCGCGGCCCTAAAAGGTGGCTTTCCGGGGGACGCATCGCTGAGGAAGAATCTTCTCCCGCCCGGCAGGCAAGCCTTTTGGTGTTCTTGGCTATTTACTAGAGTCTCGGGAGCTTCTGAAGGAGGCAACTGGGCCGTTCATGGCATGGAGATGGACTGATTGAACTCTAAAGCGGAAGATGAAGCTTGTTTGGATGGTGTGGGCTCAGGCTGAGGGAATAGGAGGCGCTGACGCGATAGGAGTTTAGATGGAGATTGATAACGGCGTCAAGGCCCCATCGGACCACTAATAACGCCGAGTATAGGTCTTTACGTCTTAGTGAGAGAGGATCTGTAGTCGTAGTCTACTGGAGAGCTGTAGTAGTAGACTGGAGAACGAGGAGTCGGGTGCAATTTCGTCTATCGCAAGCGTAAAACTCGTCGATGTCTTGGCAATCCACGACGCCGACAAAGTCTGCCGTTGAACATGTAATCAAGAAACAATTGCAGCGAAGTGGCGTGGAAACCAGTTTGAGCCTCAGTCTCGAAATCCCGATTTTGATCAGACGATCCGCAGATTGTTTAGACTTGGAAAACTTTGATGTTTCGAGAGTCAAAACACATGGCGATGGGATGACCAACAAGACCCGCGGGCAGGCCAAAAAAACGACTCAATATCTACAGGAGGTATCCCTGCCACGTCGCACCCGTCCCTGAAGATCTCCAACTGTCAACTACGGAAACAAAATGCATCCTTTGCTTATGGCATCTGTACCGTACGCGTGTTCACGTTGTAGCAGATCGTGGAAATGCCCCTTAATCTGTCTGAAGAATCATCTAGCCTACGAACCTGCCGAATAAGGGCCGTACAGCGGTAAAGATCTTGCCCGCCGACACTATATCGAATCATCTGTCCAATAATATCTCAATGGCATTGTAACCAGAATCTGGGTACAATGCCCCCCTCGATACCCAATGACTAGCGGAGTGTTCCGCTGCACGACCCTTTTTCTTCATCCGCGTACTGAAGGGCTCCCGGATTGGTTCCGAGAAGGTCGGAACTGTCCCATGGCGCGCGCAAAATGACTCGGAAAGCTGCCTCCAATCACGTGCTTGGCATCTAGACTAGGACCACGGTCCGAAGCCAAGTCGGCGCAGCTGTCGATCATCAAATTTGCAAGTCCCTTTTTCGGACCGTTGCGCCAGGGGTGGACGCGGGCTCAATGCTCAAATCCAGCAGGAGATCGCCAGCAGCTGTGGAATACGCGGGAGCAAAGAGAAGGCTGAGAGTGTCATTTACTTTGGGCAGACTGATCAGCTGTCGCTTGGTGTGCAAGTCAAGAGGCCCTTCTCGTCTTTTTTTGTCTCATGCGTCGGTGGCCAAGTCCGATTCCTGCGGGGAATATTCGCAGCGGACTGAAACCCCGACACCTGTGTGGTGGCGTCTCCGGGATGCCTCCGGCCGTGAGACGCCGGTCATGTAAGTGGCGGGACGGAGCGGTCCATGTGCGCCGCTCGATCTCTCGGCGACTCGAGGGGCTAATGCAGGCGAGAATTGCCTGCATTGACTTGCAAGCTACGAACCAACGGCGTCGTACTCGGGCGAGTCGTGCCTCCTATATACTATATAACGACGCCCATCTCACTCGACTTTGAGTAACGGTCCGAAGGTTTGTCGATGTTTGTCTTCGGACCGAGCTGCGTGTGTTCCCTGAATACCACTCGAGCGCGTTGGCTATGTAGCTGCTAACAATTTTCGAGAGTTTATACTATGTTTGGAGGATTTCATTGGCCAGAAAAGCTATGGTAGAATTTGGGTACCATGTCTCTCGCGATGTTCTTGCTTGCCGACGGGATACCGCTGGTTCACACCGAAATGCAAAAGCGTCGCAAATGTTCAAGACAGTAGATCTGACAGACCTCTTAAATATCTTCCATCCGCCGGCTGGGCAGAAATTCATTGCCAAGCTATTCTTAATTTGGCGTCATTGTATTCAACATTATGGACGTCAACGCCTCGTGGACGTCGCCCAGCTGGGCCGAGTTGGCCGCTCTCAAACTGCCAACGTCTCTGCCGACATCGAACTCGGCGCTCTACTGGCTTGCTCTCATAGTTGTCGCCTCCGTGGTTGCCGTATCTCCACTCCGCAAGTCATTCCAGTCTGCCGAGATCTATCCCGTCATCAACAAGACGAAGGAAGAGTACCTAAAAGATGGAAAGGGTCTTCTTGCGAGAGGAGCAAAGGAACACGGCGGGAAGCCCTTTCGGGTGTATACCGGGCAGGGCACGATGACGATTTTGGCCCCCGAGTTTGCTATGGAGGTTCGGAATGATAACCGGTTGAGCTCGACGGAGTTCTTGTTGGCTGTGAGTGAAATCGAACAGCAACAGGCACTGCTTTGCTGATCATCCTCAAGTACTGGCAAGCCGGGACCCCGGGGTTCGAGCCATATTTTAGTTCTGGCAGTGAACTGCTCCGTGAGATGATCAGAAGTCATCTCACCCAAACCGATATTTGTGAGTCGATCTGCTGTGGGATCTCACACCAGCTCACTGACGTACTTCAAAGCCAAGCTCTCCAGCCAGCTATCCGAGGAGGCATCTGATGCGCTCCGCGACGTCTTCACAGACAACGAAGGTGATCTCTCTCAACCCAGATCCCCAGAAGCACTCACTCACCCCCATAGAATGGCACGAAATAACCCTCGCCCAAACCATCCCGCAAATCGTCGCCCGCGTCTCCGCCCTCGTCTTCCTCGGCCCGGAACTCTGCCGCGACCCGCGCTGGCTCACCATCACCATGACCTACCCCAGCAAAGCCATGGCGGCCGCCAAAGTCCTGCGCTCATACCCGTCGCCGATCCGGCGCCTCGTCCACTGGTTCCTGCCCTGCTGCCGCGAGCTGCGGCAGATGCTGCGCACGGCGTGCCGCGCGATCGAGCCCATCCAGCAGCGGCGGCGCGAGCAGGAGGCCGAGGGCGTGGTGTTCAGCAACGCGCTTGCGTGGATCGAGAAGCTGGCGAAGAAGCAGCAAGACCGGACAGCGCAGAACGCGGCGTACCAGCAGCTGGGGCTGAGTATCTTGGCGAACGCGTCGAGCACGGATCTGGTTTCGCAGAATATTTTGGATTTGTGCTTGAATGAGGAGTTGATTGAGCCGTTGAGGGAGGAGGTGAAGAAGGTTGCCGCGGAGGGGTGGAAGAGCTCTGCGCTGTATAACTTGAGGTTAATGGATAGTGTGTTGAAGGAGACACTGCGGTTGAAGCCGATCGCGACAGGTAAGTGTTCATGATAGGAACATGGCTCTGGAGGAGCAATACTGACATCTTGAGTAGTCGCGCTAGGCCGTCGTGTGATGGAAGATAACGTCAAGTTGAGCGACGGCAGCGTTCTCCCCCGAACTACGGGCGTGGCAGTCTCCTCCGCAAACATGTGGAATCCTGTAAGTACATGGCCATCTCGATGCGTATTTCAGAGTCTGACACTCGCAGGAAATCTATCCCAACCCCGACAAGTTCGACGGCTACCGCTTCCTGCGTATGCGCGAGGCCGGCAACAATGAGCACATTGCTCAACTAGCCAGCGTGTCTCCCGAGCACCTGGGCTTCGGCCTGGGAGCTCACGCCTGTCCTGGCCGCTTCTTTGGTGCGAGCACAACCAAGCTGGTCATGGCACACTTCTTGCTCAAGTATGAGTTCAAGCTGCCGAACGACGACATGACAGCCGTTGATCCGATGCGCTTCGGATTCTCGACGTTGGTGAACCCAAGGGCGAAGATTCTCATTCGTCGGAGGAAGGATGTGGCTTGAACAGACTGCATGCCACTGGGCTGGAATTGAAAGCTCCTCTGTGCCAGGACGATTGGGTTAGAAATGCAGACAGGGCCCTATCTTCGCAGGAGGCGTCGATTTCTATGAGAACACATAGTGATGAGAATATACGTGATGACGGGCCGTCTCACCATCTGTGTAACCTGTTGAGCCCTCTGTAAATACTTGGTACCGAACAGCTATCCTGAACCAGAAAAGAACTCATCAGCAATAAGCTTCTTCGGGTGTTGCATCCATGCAACTCCAACAATCAATCGACCAGCGAGACTGCGGAAGTTCCTGGCTGCATCAACCCAAGAACGGCAGTCTCCGGTCAAGCGATTGGCGGAACATGATTCCGCGGGACGGGTTCTCCGGGGCGGGGGTCCTCGGTTTTGGCAGCCATCTGCGGGGAGATGCTACCATCCTACCCCTCTCAACTATTCAGATGTGAGCCGAGTGACCTTCGTCCCGGGAAGCGAGTGACTTGCGTAGGTACGCGGCGTATCTCGGTTTCGCATTCTTGAGGTCGTGGAAGATTAGGGCCGTATGCCGGCTCCGTAACCAACGGCAAGGCGGACGCCACGTGCGCGATGGATGGTTGCGATGATCTTGCTGTACCAGCTTCGAACATTGAAGCACGATGAGGAATACAATGGAACGCTCTTAGCGATGTGACGGGAGCGACATCCGATCGATGCCATGCTACCAAGCCACCAAACGGAAGCTTCTCATCCGCTTCGCCCATTGAAGCCAGAGCAAACCCGCCCGCCAAGAACGAACGCCTACTCAAAAGAAGATAAATCACGGGCAAATTCTTTGATGCCTTCCTGCCCAGGTCCTCAACCACCCAAGCCGCCAAGATGATGCGCCTGCTAACCCTCCTCAGCTTCTTCGCGGCCTTCCTGACCAGCGCCGCCCTCGGCGCGGAGGTCGTGCCGCGGGCGACCTTCACCGAGGTGACCTCGTACGGCGACAACCCGACCGGCACGCGCATGTGGCTCTACGTGCCCAACAACCTCGCCGCGAAGCCGGCCGTCGTCGTGGGCATCCACTGGTGCAGCGGCAGCGCGTCGGCGTACTACCAGGGCAGCCAGTGGGCGCGGTACGCCGAGACGTACGGCTACATCGTCATCTACCCGCAGACGCCGTACACGCGCGACAACTGCTGGGACGTGGCGTCCAAGATGACGCTGACGCACAACGGCGGCGGGGCGAGCAACTCGATTGCGAACATGGTCAAGTTTGTGATTGCGCAGTATGGTGCGGACGCCAGTAAAGTGTTTGCGACGGGGATCTCGTCGGGGGCTATGATGACGGTGAGTGAGATACGGATAGCCTCATTGCATGTGGGAGCTGACGCCGGAGGTAGAACGTACTCGCCGCGACGTACCCCGACATCTTCGCCGCGGGAATCGCGTACGCCGGCGTCCCGGCTGGCTGCTTCATGAGCGCGGCCGATGTGCCTGACGAGTGGAACTCGACGTGCTCAACGGGCCAGAGCATCTGGACGCAGCAGCAGTGGGCCAACGTGGTGTACAACATGTATCCCGGATACACGGGCGCGCGGCCGAAGATGCAGATCTACCACGGCACTGCGGACGAGGCGCTGAATGTGCAGAACTACTACGAGACGATCAAGCAGTGGACGGGCGTGTTTGGGTACTCGACGACGCCGCAGTCGACGACGCCTGACTATCCGCGGAGCCCGTACACGAGATATGTGTTTGGGGAGAAGTTGCAGGTGAGTTTGGGTAGTGAGTGTGTGTATGCGAACAGGTGCTGACTCCAGGCAGACTTTCCTCGGCCAGGGCGTCACTCACTCCATCGACGTGTTCCCGGAGGAAGACCTGAAGTGGTTTGGGTTCACGGTAATATTTCCTAGCTGAGAGTTTGCGCGGATGGAACTGACAGGAGCAGAACCCGGTGACCTCGACGGCCGGAAGCCAGACGACGACGACGCTGCGGACGAGCACGACTTCGACGGCGAGATCGACGACGACGACGGCGGCCGGAGGGTCCGGATCGGCACCGCAATGGGGCCAATGCGGCGGCATCAACTGGACGGGACCGACTGCGGTGAGTTGATGGAGGGCGATGCAGATGCAGACGTTGGGCCATTTACTGATGAGTTGGCAGTGCGCGAGCCCGTACACTTGCATCAAGGTCAACGACTGTGAGTCCTCCTTTCGTGCCATTCCCATGCTATCGCTGACGACTTGTGATGAAGGGTATTCTCAGTGCCAGTGATGGCGAGAGGGGGATCTGTTGAGCCGTGACGAGGGCCACCCGATGACGCCGAACAAAGGATTGTAGCACATCCGGCCATGTCGCATACTGTTCTACCGCGGAGGGTTCATCAAGTACAGAACACGAATAGAAGCAATTTCAGTTCTTATCATGCTGTTCGCGGGCTCATGCGCTGGCTGGGCCTGCGACGTGGAATGCGGGATGAGATGCAATCGTGATGAAAGCAGCCAGGCTCGCAAAGGGGTGACGAAGAATTAAAGGCTGGACCGACAGCCGGGGTGAGTCCCGATCGGTGTTCCGCGAGACAGCGACATTCCAGCGGGACAAGGTCAAAAAGCAAGGTGAGGTGCTGGTGGATGTCTCGGCAAAAAACAAAACACGATCGCGACGCAGTCTTAGACTGAGAGAGTGAGACATTCATCGGGCGCTGAAGAAGGGCCCAGGCAGGCAGCACGTCCATGGGCAGCCCGTGATTGTGGGTGATGACTGTCACTGAAACTCTGCTGCTGCTGCAGGACGAGAAGATGGGAAGAGGAGAAGGGTAAAAGTTTGAGCTTAAACCCGGAGGCTGAGGTGAGGCTATTCCCGTCGGGGTCCCACGTGCGCCGCGTTGCCCAGGCCATTCGATCATTTATCATGGTTCACTCTTTCAGTCCACCGCATCCATCGGTGAGGCCCAACCACGTGACCCGTATTTTGGTCTCTCGTGTGAATTTCGCTTCTGCAAGGCGCGGGAGGCCGGTGTTTTCACTTTTTCGCTTTTCAGGGTCCGCGGTGGCGTCATTCCCCGCCGAGAGTGCGAACCTTGCAAGCGCTAACAGATGCAGGCTTTGCAAAGAGAGTCTGTACTGAATTGAAGAGAGCGCAAGAAAGAGACGCATAACCGTCCAGATTGCCATGGTCATCGACACTGACGCGGGATCTTCTGCCCATCACCAAAGACACTCACTGTCTGAGACTTCCCCAACATGTACGACGTGACCCGACACCTGACTTGACTTTGGTCACGGGACAATGTCTTGTCTTGGTCTTCCGTGTCTTGTGTCTCGCTTTTGTTGTACCCGTCCAGTCTTAGCCCGCAGGCAATGTCCCCCCTTCACCCTCTGGCGCGAGTCCGTCCTCTCTCGTCCTCCACTCGGACTCGTTCTTGGTTTCCTCTTGGGCTCCTCTTCGCTCCGTCCAAAGGCGACACACCCTGGTCCCCTCGGCTTAAGCCTCACCGCTATTACCTCAGCTAAACAGCCTGGACGACATGCAAACCAGGGGGGTGGCCTCCACTGCCGATCCGAAACTTGGCCGCCCAACACTGCGAACTGACGTAGAGTTGTAACGCCATTGGGCCTAGAAGCTGCTGCGGCCTTCTGTTGTGCAGTCCACCGTCCGTCCACACGCACACACGCCATGCATGTACCTCTAGCACAGAGTAAGCGCATGTATGTACCTACACAGAAGAGAGTAAGAGAGAGAGAAAGAGTCCACCGGAGAGCCTCTTCCTGTTGTTCCCTCTTCTGCTCATCGTCTATTCGTCCGTCTACCATGTGGGTTGGCTCTATCCGTAGTAGCAGCATTGGATGTATCCTCCCCACCCCCGCGATACAAAGAGACCTGTTCCCATCCACACCATCACACCCTCTTCACAAGTACCTTTCTATCTTGTTTTCCCGCGCATAAACAACCAGGGCCTGAAAGCGGCTCGAGCTTTCGTGAAGTCATGCCGCAGCGAATCGAACTTCAAAAACAACTTTGAAGCTTTTCAGCATCTTCCCTCCTCTCCCCACGATTCTTCCATGTCCGTTGCCCACGGTTCCATGACCTGACCTCTGTCACCCTCGCCGAGCACCCCTCAACCGAGGCTTCTTCCCGCTTCCTTCGCTCCCCTCCAATTGAGACTCTTCGTTAGTCCCGGGGCTCCTCCTTCGTCATTGACGATTATTTTTCTCCCCGCCAACTCCATCGTCGGAAAATAAACATCGGCGTCTGCCAAAACACCACTACAAAACATCACCACCGCCACCGCCGCCCAGCATGTCCGACACATCGCCCTCCTCGGCAGACGAACGTCTACGGACGGCCGTCATCGCCGAACACCTCCCCGCCGGCTACGGCACCTCCTTCGACGGCACCCGAACCATGTCCAACCTCGACCTCACCCGCCAAAACTCCAACCCGCTCAAGACCCCGAGCCTCCACGGCAGCAGCAAGGGCAACAGCCAGGGCAACGCGCTCGACGCCGACGAACCCCAAGAGGTCTCCTCCCTCCTCCTCCCCGGCGGCGACATCCACCGCGACCTCTACAAGATCTCCGCCAGGGAACAGGGCGTCAAGCGCTCCCAGACCTTCTCCCACCCGCGCCGCACCGAGTCCGGCCACGAGTCCGACCTCGCCGCCGCCGACATGCTGATGCCCCAGGGCTTCCGCCGCCAGTTCGTCATGCAGAAGCGCGGCTTCACCGCCGCGAACCTGCCCATCACCCGCAACTTTGTCGAGTTCCTCGACTTCTACGGCGCCTTCGCCGGCGAGGACCTCGCGGATTCCGACGAGGAGGCAATCATGTCGGACGACGAGGACGAGGAACAAGGACGTACCGCGCCGACAGAGACGAGGCCGCTGCTCGGCCGCCGGCGGTCCTCCCGCTTCGCCAAGAAGGTCGGCGACGCGAGCACGACAAAGACCTTCTTCACGACGTTAAAGGCCTTCATTGGCACGGGCATCATGTTCCTGCCCAAGGCCTTCAAGAACGGCGGCATCCTCTTCTCCTCCATCACCATGCTCCTCGTCGCCGTCATCTCCATGGCCGCCTTCCACCTGCTGCTCCAGTGCCGCACCCGCTACGGCGGCGGCTACGGCGACCTTGGCAAGGAGATCTCCGGCCCGCGCATGCGCTCCCTCATCCTGGCCTCCATCACGCTCTCCCAGCTCGGCTTCGTCTGTACGGGTCTGGTCTTCGTCGCCGATAACTGGTTCTCCTTCCTGCAGGCCGTCACCAATGGCGCGAACCCCCTCGACTCCACCGCCCTCATCGCCTTGCAAGCCATCATCTTCGTGCCGCTGGCCTTCATCCGCAACATCTCCAAGCTCGGCCCCGCCGCCCTGCTCGCCGACGTCTTCATCGTCATGGGCGTCGGCTACATCTGGTGGTATGACATCTCCGCCCTCGCGACCCGCGGCATGGACCCCTCCGTCCGCCTCTTTAACCCGGCCTCCTACACCCTCACCATCGGCGCCTCCATCTTCACCTTCGAGGGCATCGGCCTCATCATCCCCATCCAGGCCAGCATGAAGAAGCCCGAGCACTTTGAGAAGCTCCTCGCCGGCGTCATGCTGCTCATCACCTGCGTCTTCACCTCCGTCGGCGCCCTCTGCTACGCCACCTTCGGCGACCGCACCCAGATCGAGGTCATCAACAACTACCCGCAGGACTCGCGCCTCGTCAACGCCGTGCAGTTCATGTACGCCCTCGCCGTCCTCGTCGGCAACCCCGTCCAGCTGTTCCCGGCCATGCGCATCATCGAGGGCAAGGTCTTTGGCCACCGCTCCGGCAAGAAGGACCTCGTCACCAAGTGGAAGAAGAACGCCTTCCGCACGGCCCTGGTGGCCGTCTGCATCGGCGTCTCCATCGCCGGCTCCGCCAACCTCGACCGCTTCGTCGCCCTCATCGGGTCGTTTGCGTGCGTGCCGCTGGTGTACATCTACCCGCCGTACCTGCACATGAAGGGCGTCGCCGAGACGAGGAAGGAGAAGATTTATGACATTGCGCTGATGACGCTCGGGTTGGTGGGCATGGTGTACACCACCGCCATCACCCTGGCTACGAGCTTCCTGTAACGATAGATATTATGACCTGTGTAGAAAGTACAGCATCACCTGCATGAGATTGTAACATTTTGTTGGAAATAAAATTACAGCGTAGAGCTTTTTGCTATTTTAAATCACATCTGATGAAGCCCCCTTCAATCCTCCCGCCAGCGGACAGCCCAATCCCCCTTTGCGAAGCTCGGCTCGACGACTTTGCCCTGCATGACAGCCTCACACTTCCTCCTCTCCTCGCCGACAAGGAACCCAAACACAACCCCCCGCCGCGCCGCGCACCTCACCAGCTCCCGCTCGTGAGCCTTCTTCTGCCCCTCGTTCCTCTTCTCCCGCATCTCGTCCGTCTCCTCGATCCGCTCCGCCTTGCCCTTCTCCCCGCCCACGCTGCCGTTCACCTGCGACTTCTCCTGCGGCGGCCGCACCCTCGTCCCGCTGCGCACCGAAAGGCTCGCCATCACGCTCGGGTCAACATCAAGCTCGCTCGACCGCGTCCGCCCCAGCATCTCGTCAATGATCTCCTCCCCGGGGTCCTCCTCCTCCTTCTCATGGCCCACATCCACCCCTTCGTCCTCCGCCTTCTCCGGAATCACCCTCGAGGCGCGGTTCTTCCTCCTCCCAAACACCTTCTCAGGATCCTTCCGCTCCCCAAACACCCTCGCCTCGACCACGTCGCAGGGCACAAGCACCCGCGTGTCACCCTTGACTTTCTTCACACTGGCGGTGTCGAGGGGCTCGTCGGCCTGCAGGAAGCGCACAAAGGCCGCCTCGATATCGCGGTCGAGACGGCCCGGCTTCTGGCCCCGGCAGCGCGCGGAGCAGTACTTTGGCGGCTCCGAGTTGGCGGGCTTCGAGGAGGTGGACTTGCGGGAGGAGATGACGCGGCCGCAGGTGCGGCAGTAGGGCGTCTGGTCGCCGTTCGGGAGGAGGTAGAAGGGCGCGGGCGTCGCTTGGGATTTGGACGGCCGGGACCAGGAGTCCATCCAGGACATTTTGCCGCGCGAGGTGGGGTGGAGGGTCGAGAAGGGGTAGCGGAGTGACTCGGTGATCGGGAGGTGTTTGGTTGTAATGAGTCGGATGGTGAGTGAGCGGGTGAGCATTGGCGGGATGTTGAGAGGTGAGGTTGTGATGGTGAAAGGGATGAGGTGAGGGAAGGTTGGGTCTTGGTGGTCTGGGATTGGCTACGTCATCGATGTCATTTTCTGCTACTTCCGGAAGGCGTGGTCTTAGCCGGTGTTCTTGCCCACATTGTTGAGGACGATTCAATTCAAGATGAAGAAATCAGATATGAAGATGAACGAAATAAACTCAGTTCTAAACGATATTTTCATTCATCAATTTTCTGTCCCTCATAGGTGAGAGTTTTGTGTTGTAGGCGACGTGAATGCGCCACACTAAGACAACCAACCTATCGTCAATGAGACGACACCTCGGATGCATACTTCTGGCCCTCAAATATCTCAATTTGTACTGTCACGGCTTTATCTAAATTTCACTCCATGTGGATGTACGTTGATTGCTCAGGCGAAAAGCATAAGGCAGTCTCGCTCTCGCTCGGTCCTTCCATCAGAAATGCTGAAAGGTGACGTCTAAATGCAGCGCTTATATTGGATCCTTGTCAATTTGCATGCCTCGAGCTGACAAGGCGCTAATTTCAGTGGTAGTGTCGTCAGTATTCTATCAAGTCGCATATGTGCATGTTATGAAATTAAGCTTAAAGACCCTGTGATGAGTGAGGCGCTCTCTGGGCTCGGATGGTCGTCTTCACGGCCATCTCTCGTGTCGGCTACTTTTCTCCTACACTGCTAGTGCTCGCCATATTGCTTGAACATATCCGAAGATGGAGTTTTGATCATCAAAATAGGTGCTCGATCCATGTTATCCACAACGATAGATGGGATTGCGAAACTCTTTGGCAGTGGACGTGCTTATAAGGCAGCTTCGACGCAAAGTCCAGCCACATGACCTGACCTGCTGAGGCTTTGTGAACCTGGTGTTTGCCTTGGGCAACCAACCAAGAACATCCGCTGGCCGCACAATAGTAGCTGCAGCACTACTTGTGATTAGAAGATGACAAGATATTGGACTTGTTGTAAGGCATAAAACAGGCCATTATTAATAGGCTCTTGCGTCCCTTCCCGGTCGTAGGCCGGATGGGGGGCCTTATCTCATCACGAGTGGACGCCTCAAGGCTGAAACAAGAGGCCTGATTATGGTGTAGCCGTGGTCCAGGTAGTAACATATACTGGAACTGCAGTTGAGGTATGCAACCTTTAGAATCGATGCGCAAAGCTTTCCTGGCAAGAAGGAATTAGACAAGTGGAACGGAAGAAGGACGGGTTGGGAATGAAGGAAATGGAGCCTCGTAAACAATTACATACAAAGTTTGACTCTTTCTTGCGACGGAGCGACGTACACTAGGGTACTGGTCGTCTACTAATGCCAATTGGGAAAATTCTGGGCGGGCGGACTACCTTCTGTCCCAGAAAGTCACCGCCGGCCTTTGACATGATAGATGTGTAGGCTCTCTGCACTAGTTCAGCTGCGCCCTACTGCGTGCTGTTTTAAAACATGGGACGAGTCATTCTGGGTGAACTCCAAATGAGGAACGCTTTGGACAGCTCCGCTGGCCAAAGCGCCAGCGGAAAACCAACACGGCGTGGCGGTGGTCGCCTCTGGTTTATTTCTCAGGTGACGAAGTGAGATTTTCCCGGCTGGTTGATTTGCCCGAACATTATTTAGGATTTCTTGTTTTGTCTTGATGATATTGAACCTCGTTGATACTCAGGGAATATGGCAACCAGCTACTACACCAGAGAGCAGACAATTTGGTAATGTTCGGTCCATCGTTGAGCAAGACTTTCAATGGATACAAGCAACAAGCCAGCAATTGTTCATAAGGCTTAATTTTAAGCTAAGCCTCGGAACGTCACAGATTGATTGAGCCCCAGACCCCAGGAAGGGCAGATGTCCATAGTCAATAGTCAAGCTTTTCAGCTAAACAACAGATCGTCCCTTTTCCATTGTTCTGTGTAGCACGACTCAACCACGTTTACTAAACCGTAAGGCGCATTTCTTGTAAGTTTCATAACTTATATTACCTACCTCAGCTCTTCATCTCGGCGACGTCACCATGCCGACGATCAGTCTGAATGAGGCCCCACTTAAGGGCGTTGGACTTTTGCATCAAGAAAACTCACTATGAGTTCCGAGGTCTGGTGGCCTCATAAAGATCCACGTACTTAGGAACTTAGTTAATAATTATTCGTTACTTCCGATAAGGCGGTGCACATGATGTTGAGCGCTGCGAGGAAAAACTAAAAGGGCAAACTTGATTACTACCGGATCACATACAAGCACTAGACGAGATTCACGAGTAATGTGAGGAACAGACGAACAAAGGCCTTATGAGGGAGTTGTCAGGGTGAAAGTGTACAACTTGCCGGTTCGGATGATGCAACACCGAACCTTATTCCCCCATGGGTGGTCCCTTGAGATTGATCAGCCCTCTGGTAGCAGCAGTATCACCACATGACTTACTCCTACCCTCTACAAAATGATGAGGAAGTGTCCGTACCACTATCAGGGATGCACTCGTCCGCTTGCCTGGGACCAGTCAAAATGATATAAAAAAGAACCAGATCGCCATTAGCTTGGATTATCTAGCCATCATCTTCAAGTTTCACAGCTACCTTCAACTGCAATATCAATCCATAATGCGTCTCATCACCTTCTTTTGCACTCTCTTGAGCGTTTCTCTTGTGGCAGCCGACTGCAAGAAATGTGTCGCGTCAGACAGTGGCCGCTATGCCTGCCTCAACGATAACAACGGATGCCAGAATGCGCGGGTGAGCAGCAAATTCCCCTTTGGGGCGAAGGTTTGCTGTGATGATGCCGCCTTCCCTCATATCAGCTGCGCCAAGGAATGCAAATAAGGTACGCAACCCGAGGCCAAAGCCCGCATCTATCTGACAAGTAGTAGGAGCTGTTGAAAAGATAAGGACTCGAAGTAGTGAACGAACAGGTTTCTGTCACGAATCCGCGCGCCCAGGTCTTTCGACAAACAGCTTTTTTCCGACCTGGGGTTGGCCGTGATTATCATGTCTGAGGCTATGTGTTACGACTTATGGGGAAGGAATGGTAGCGGAGCTATGGGAGTTGGATGGGGTGATTGGTATCCAAAATCATAGGGAACAACAGGAACCTAGCAAATAAACGAAGAAATTTTGACCAATTTATATTCATCCCTCTCATAGCCCATTGCAACCAGGAGATGGTTGTTAAAGTGAGAGTTCCCAGCCAGAGCTCGCATCATAACTCTGTAGACATCGACTCCATAGTAGAACCGTTTCATCCGCAGGATCAAGGCAAAGGTCTTTGTCGCCGTTGACAATAGTATCATCCAAGCTTGGGAACATGGCTTCGTCGATTATTGCATCGAATTCCTCTGCTGTCAATTGACGCCCACTGGAAGCTTGGCAAGAAGCCTGTTGTAACTGGTTGTCTGCCGCGATGGCCGAAAGGTCTTGTGAATGTGGTTCCGTTCGATAAGAAACGCATCCGTCCCGTGACGATAGGCTTGCCTGTGATGTCGGTTTGGCGGGGGCCAGATCTGCCAACATGGCAAATGACTGGATGTAATCAAACTCAGTCGTAGAGCTGTGATTGCAGCTTTTGCTGGCCTCGTCTTTGTCCAAATCATCAACTACGTTTCCGATTGCTCGTGCGTAGTCATCCAAGGGAGAAGGTCGTGATGATGTTCCTTCTCTCGTTAATGCGGTTTCCGACATTCGACGTTGTCCTTCGTCAAAGCCGTCTCCTGCAACAGACACATCTTTACTGCTCTGCTGATTTTCATCATATGGCTTAGATGCGTGCGGAGATTGAGACTTGATCATTGAAATAGCCGCTGGATCCATAGGGCAAAATGGTGGTTCGGAAAAGTCCTGGAATCGTGAGAAGAAGCTACCGAAGAGGTGGACCGAAGAGCCTGGGAGCAAAGATGATTCATGTAGAGGACGTAGTGCGTGTATTCGAAACAGAGTGTCAATCCACAAATGAGCCGGACTGAAAAATGTTCTCATGGTACCCAGGATAGTGAAGACTACTTTGAGGTGGTTGACGGATTCGTTGCGGCGAGCGTGGTCATTCTCAGCGCGAAGCTGACTTAGAAATACACTTCCCGCGAGGAAGAGGATATATCCAAGGAATGGGGACTAGATTTACTCAGTTGAGATGTCTTTCTCGATCGTTCTTGGTTCTGTTAAACGTACTAGACACATGTCGAGTTCAAGAATCTTCCGACATAATAGAGTGACACGGCGAGCGCCGTCCATGCAAGCAACGGACCGTTCCTTCCAAAAGGCTTCCGGGGCGGAAGGAAATACATTTTCTTTCCTGGGGTGGCGGTGGTATGTTCGGTCCTTGGATGCTGTCTTGTCACAGCACTCCGCTGTGTCAGCGTGTTCCCATGGCATGATACCGACCGGCATGAAGACTCGGTTAAGCAGGATTCGGGCCCCGTAGAACATGGCAAGAGTGATGAGGTGTTCTACAGCATGCAGGTCATCACGCTCTACAGAGCCCACCACGTCTTGTGTCAAAGTCAGATCTCCGGCGTGGAGCGCGTAGAAAGCATCCAAGTCACGCTTCAGAGCCATAAAGCTTGAATCGCTAGACCAGGGCGCAGGATCCAACCGCGTTATGTCTTTTCGTGATAGCGCAACACACCGAAGAAACAGTTGAGTAAGCTGGGGTAATGGCCTAGGAGGCATCAAAGTTCTGGCGGATTCTTTCTCTTCGGCGTCATTTAGAGCTGGCCACTCTAAGGAGAAGGTCCCGAAAGGTTCAACAATCTGGCCGATCGACTGAAAAGCGCTGGCGACTTTGAGATGAATGTCTACCCTGTCGAATATCTGAGATATTCTTTCGTCCACTTTGGTGAGAGATTGCCGTAGTGGAGATATGGGTGCTGCAGCCATTGCTACCATAACAACCAGTCAGCTCGAGGCGTCTTCGAATGAAACATCATTGAAGACTCAACTCACTTATATCGTACCAAGCTTGCAGCCCACGACCTTGGTACGTCTCATATACTGACAGCACGCTGAGACACAAAATCCGCTGAACCTTCAACTGGAGGGTGTTTTCGTGGCTAGAATTGAGACTTTCTCGTGCATCCGACGCAAAAGCCTCCCCATCGAAAGGAATTAACCTCACGCTTTGTCTCGAGAAGGGAACACTTGCTGCGCAAATGGCGTGACAGAAGTGACGCGTTGCTTGGCCGCTTTCTAGGAGCGACATGAAGTAACAGAAAGGCAAGAGTGGGCACTGCTGGCGACTGACCGTAGCGAAGAATGTCAAGACTAAGTGCATTGTTTCGTCCACGGATATGAGTGCTCTTCCACAAATGTCAACACAGCGAGATCGATGAATCAAGGTTTTAGGGTACTGACTCATTGACAAAGTACTTCTCTTTCCCCATGGTTTTGATTAAGCCTGCTCGCCAATCATGGGCATGGCCACAGCCGAATTGCGACTTCGTAGCGCCGCGACCAACCAGTGGAGAAGTTCCTGACACTTGGAACTGTCTTCTAGTTGACTTGTCTGATAATCTTGAGATACTGTGCGGGCCAGGTGTAGAAGTGTTCTTGTCCTGGTCGAGTTGGGCATGTTTTGGACGGGGACCGCGTTTTCGTCTATTCAGTTCATAGTGACACTTGGTGCCGAGTCTCTCACACGTTGAACATGGCGCATTCCCCGTACAGCGAACCTAGAGTGGAATGAGCAACAGTCGCCAGCCACAGCTGCACGAGCTTGCGCAGTCTAAAACTCACTTTGCGCTTCCTACACTCTTCGCAGGCAAGCGACTGCATGATGCATCGTTGGTAGCCTTGTGGTTGGTGGCGTTTGTATCTCGAATCTTGCGAATAAGAGTGTATTTTCGTTGTGAACAATGCTGGTAAACATTGCGGGATACTCTCGTCACAGTCGATTCCCTTTGATTTGGATTTGCATGGGCGTGTCGCGTCCGCAAGGATGCAAAGATAAGGCCATTCCATTCTTGGCGAATGTAGAATGCACTGCACATTTGTCCGGACCTATCATCTTTAGGCCATGGCGATAGATGCTGCTGTATGTTGATAGAGAAAGATAAGATTACGGCGGAGAATTGGCGATCATTCACTGATTGCTTTCACCATCGCCTCCAGAATGGTTATCTCGGGTCTAGGAGAGGTCTTGCGGACTAATCCCAGAGTCTCAAGACGGAGGTAATCGCGATTAGGAGAGATGGGCAGATTAATTCGAACGACAAGTTGAACCGTCTGTTTGGGGTAATTATCAGATGAGTTTTGTGTGCCTCGGACATTGCCACTTGCCCGAGTCCATTATCTTCAGCTGAAGAATACGGACTTTAGGGATTCGGACAAAACTATCCAGCGTGACGTCAAGTAATTCCAAGCTCTTGGTTTGCGGTCTTTGTGGAGGAAGCCTAAACTTTGAAGGACTGCGATGAAGCACTGTCCGATTGAGTCAAATAAAAAACGTCAACACACTTCCATTTGATGCCAAACTCGTAATTGTGTTCTCCGTTTTATCACCTAAGCTTTTTTTCTTTTACAATATTGTACATCGACGAGACTTGATAGATTGTCTCCTACCAAAAATGGCAGAAAACCCGCCCACCAAACCCCTTGTAAGTGTTGCCCCTGATGCCACGAACTCAGGTGCCACAGGGCTTCGAGTTGTCATCATAGGCTCTGGATTCTGTGGCCTCACCAGTGCCATTGAATGTCGTCTCAGGGGAATGGATGTGGTGGTTGTCGAGACGTATCCCACATCCCGCACACAAGGAGATGTCATCGACTTATTCGCCAACGGCGGCATGATCTTTGAGTCGTGGGATGGAGGTCGGATTGCCGAAAAGATGCTACAAGTCTGCATCAATCGCAATGATGCCTTCAAGTTCTACAACGCCAAGGGCGAGTATCTGATGGAGGATGCCTGGCACAAATATCCCCATCATGCTCAGAGGCAGTACGCCGGTCACCGTGGAGAGATGCATGAGATGGTGTCCGACTATGCAGCCAGCCTCGGAGTGGAATTTCGACTGGGAGAGACTGTCGTTGATTATGTCGATCAGGGACGTGAAGGTGTCGATCGCCAAGTCGGCGTCAGTTGTGTCAGCGGGCTTCAAGTCTGGGGAGACGTCATTCTCTGCTGCGACGGCCCCAGGTCACTGGCCCGGCAGAAGGTTCTGCAGCTCCCGGATCACAAAGTCAACTCGGGCTACGCCATTTATCGTGCATTTTACACCCTCACTCCTGAAATGCGAAAGAACATCTACATAAGTCGATTCTGCGACCCTGAACGCGACTTCACAGGAATGTGGGTGGGTAAGGACCTCCATGGCCTCATCTACAGCTGGAACCAAGGCCGCGATCTTGGCTGGGTCTTGACGCATAAGGACGACCACGACATCGGGGAGTCATGGTCCTTCCCTGGCAAAAAGCAGGACGTCATGGCATGCCTCGACGAAGGGGGCTTCTGCGAGCTGTTCAAAGAGGTCGTGCGTCTTACACCAGAGGAAAATCTTGTCGACTACAAGCTGGTCTGGCGCGGTCCGTTGACAACGTGGCTGCCAAAGGGCCCGCATCCGCGGATGATTGTACTCGGAGATGCCGCACATTGCCACTTGCCAACATCCGGACAAGGGGCTTCACAATCTGTCGAGGACGGAGCGGCGGTGGCGGCGTGCCTTGACAAGGCAAAAGGCGATGTGCCGCTGGCATTAAAAGTATTCGAACGCATCAGGTTCCATCGCCAACACGTTATCCACATGTCGTCCGTATCCAACCGGAACGAGTATCACGAGATAGAATGGACGCCTGAATTTGTGAAGCAGCACCCGGATGCTCTGAAGCTTCGTCGTCCGGATTGGATTCTCGAGCACGACGCCAGAGCGAACGTCGATCAACATTTTGACCAGATTGCTGACGACGTCCGGTCTGGGAAGCCTGGGTCTCTTTTTGATTTGGCTTTGCCGGCAGAAGGCGAAATCATGCAGTTTCGCCCTGGAGACGACAACGAGAAGGCCGTTGACACAAGCTTTGAGGTGGATGGCATGATGCCAGATGAGGCCCAGTGTAAGCAGGCTACAAAGGTTGGCGTGGATGCACAAGTTGCGGTTATGGCGAGTTGATGTTTTTGTGTGGTACGGCAAGGAAACTGGAAGTTACGATCAGTATTTGTGTGTCTTTCGAATGAAATTCAGTTGGCAAAGAGATGCATTTTCGTGATATCCGCCTCGGGGTCCTAGCCGCCGAGGTGCGTAGGACCACTAGCCCAAGAATTGCAGCGATGATTGAATTCTGTCATTCGTTTGGTATGGCTTTCTTAACAGATCAGTAGGTTGCTTTGTTTCAGAAACGACTTGTTTTCTTAATCTCGGCGTGGGTATAATGGGGGTTTGGCTCATTCTCAAATGTCAAACCGGCCTGGAGAGAAAATGAGGTGGTGCATAGAGAGATTCACGTGTCGTATAATTACTCAGAAGACGAATCCATCACTTCTCCATTAAAAACCGTTAACAGATTGATACACATTCAAAGATAATATATTGCCTAGACTAAGAATGACTTGGCACTGGACACATCAATACGACTTTGCGAAGTGAAGCCACTATCTGAGCCACAGCAACCGCCTTGGGCGCGTCTACCCGAAGCTCATGGGCTTGAACGGAGCGCTCGTCGGCAATTCCTTCAACCGGGTTGTATCCTGGAATGACACGCTTGTCTGCACCCTTCTGCTTGAGGACGCTTTCCAGTGGTGTGCTGTGATCAACCCAGCCAAGATTCGGCAGTGCCACATCGTAACCGAGCCGACGTTGCACCTCAAGGGGATAGCTCTTCACAACATCGTGAGGCAGGTAGAGCGCAAAATTCTCCTCCTACAATCTTCCGTCAGGGTAAAGTACAGATAAATCCGTTAGGAGAACGACGCACCTGTCTGAGATGGGGTAGCTGCATGAACAAAGCATACACGAGCCTCTTGCTATCCTCAGTGGTGTTCTGACCTGCACCATGGTAGCAGCTGGACAGCATGAAGAAGGCGTCGCCGGCCTTCAGTTCAGCATCAATCGCCAATTCTGAGTTTGGCTGCTCGTCGAACTTGGTCAGATGACTGCCAGGCACGAATCGCGTGGCACCATTGGCACGCGTAGTGTCAGTACCCGCAATGAAGAAGCTGATGCTGCTGTCGCGACCGAACTCGTAGTCTTCCGGGAGAATGGCCGGTAGTTTGTTGTACCAGATGGAGTCGTCCCGGTGCAAGTCTTGGACGTGCATGCCCGGTCCGACTTCGAAAATGGACGACATAGCGACAATCGGCTTTTCAGTCACCACAAACCGCTTCCGGCCGAGCCAGGAGGTGTGGCTGACGGACAGAAACTTGTCCATGACTCCCAGATAAAGTTCGTCTGTAATGATTCTCTGTGTGAGAGCGGGTGCATACTCAGGAAGGCGAGCCAAGCGTTTGGTCTGATCATCAGATCTGGCATACGAAGCGGCATCCACATGCGGACGTACGGCTAGCTCCGCCTCCGCAATTTCCTGGGCGCTGAGAAAGCCTTTGATGCGAACTCCACCATTGTACTTGAGAGACTGTATAATCTTATCGAGGGGGACTGATCGGTCAAACGCCTCAAGGGTGAACTTAAGTTCGTTAGGAAGTTGAGACGACTCCGTATCCGTGACTGGAGCGTCATGAAGGGTAAATGTCATAGACATGGCGAAGTCTTTTTTTGGTGATGTATTTGGAAATAGACAGATGACTAGTTAAGTTCAGATGCGTTGACAGGCGAAGATTCTTGAGGAATGAATTGTTCAATTCGACTATCTTAATATTCATCAATGGTGTGCACTCTCTTCTGCTTCCATTTGGAGCAAGTCCCAAAGGAAGTCGTTGACGATGCACCTACGCTAAAACTCCGACCCCAAGCACGGAGAAATGATAGCGCCATATTGCTGCACCAGCTTGAGAGTGAATCATTGCAACGATCCAATAATTACAACGCCAGTTCTCCTTGCTTTCCGACTTGCTGGCAACAGCGTATCTCTGTTGCACCGGTCGCAGCATTCGCGTCGGACATTTGCATTGCCAAGGTCCGTACTTATGTCCGATAGGCCTAGGGTAACACGGCCGCGATAGAAAAAGCCCGTCGGCAGTTCGGGCCACCGCAACTGAGCCACGCCGCGTATCAGCAGCTATCTGACGCAAGATTCCATTGAGTTTGTCGGCAAATGCACCCTCCTACGCTCTTTCGTAAGCCAAGATCGAACTCCAAGACAACGGATCCCGCGGGCTACATGATCGGCAGCGTTCAAGAAGAGCACGAACGCCACGAAGTGCATCAACGCATGCATTCAATTTCAAATCTCATCTTATTTGTTATTATCTGAAGATGCTGTCAATTGATAATTTCAAACAAACACTAGCGGTCTATTGGCCTTTTGTTGTTGTGTTCTTGTTGTGCATATCTTTGATTCAAGCTCGATACTCCAGCAATCTGCACAGAATTCCTGGACCATTCCTCAGTTCAGTGTCAATTATTCCACGAATTCGATCTGTCTACCGCGGCAACTCCCACGAAGATGAGTTGGAACTACACAAAAAATTCGGCAACTTCGTCCGAGTTGGGCCTCGCACTGTCTCTATTTCCGATCCTGCGCACATTGAAAAGATCTATGGCATCTCATCCAACTTTTTTAAGGCGGGCTTCTACGAACCTATCAGATTTCACGATGAAGAAGGCTTAGTTCCGGATCCATTAGTGCTCGCCGACAAGGCGACGCATACGAGGATGAAGAGGAATGCGGCAAATGCCTATGCCCTACAAGCTCTCGTCCAGCTCGAGCCTCTTGTGAACAGAACTATCGATAACTTGCTCAAGCATTTGGACATCTGCTATGCTTCTACCGGAGCGATCTGCAACCTAGGGGAATACATGCACTTCTTTGCTATGGACACAATCTTCAACATCACTTTCGGTCGGGATTTAGATTTCATTAATAGCGGCGATCCCAAAGGCTTTTGCAGACAGCTGCAAGATGGTCTTGGGTACCTTGTTTGTGTAAGTAACTGTTATCGGCCCACGAAAGGGAAAAGCCAGCTTGCTTACCACGATGTGATTTGCTCAGATTGGCCAAATTCCATGGGCGCATCGCTTTCTGCTCGGCAACCGGGTCGTGGCGGGACTCTTGAACCGCCTGACCGACGAGGAATCAGTCTTCGATAAAGTCATGAGTCTTGCTACGTCATACCGAACAATTGCCGAGAAGGAGGCTCTGATTGGAGATGATGAAGCGACCTCCTGCACCTTTCTGTCTCGGCTACTGCGAAACCAGACCAGAAACCCTTCTCTGATCACCGACAGAGAGATCAACACGCACATATTTGGAAACATTACTGCGGGAGGGGATACCACATCTACAGCTCTTCGAGCTGTTCTGAGAGACTTGATCCGTCATCCAGCAGTGACTCACCGCTTGCTTGCGGAGTTACGGAATGCGGGGCTTGATGAAACAGAAACTCCGGTGCCTTATAGCATCGCATCGAAGCTGCCGTACTTGTCTGCCATCATACGTGAGTCGATGCGCCTACACCCGTCAGTGGGAATGATGCTGGCTCGAGGAGTTCCTCCGGAAGGCGCTGTGTTCCGGGATGGAGACAGAGATGAGTATCACATTGGACCAGGGGTTGAGGTCGGTATCAACCCCTGGGTAGTTCACCGCAATCCTCGGGTGTTTCCTAATCCCGAGGTCTACTCGCCCGAAAGATGGTTGGAGGCCGCGCCTGAGCAACTGGCCCAAATGAAACGTGCTTGGATGCCGTTTGGTGCCGGCCGTCATACTTGCAGTGGACAGCACATTTCAATGTTGGAGATCACCAAACTTGTCCCGACAATTGTGCTCAAATATGGAATCACCTGGAGCTCTCCTAGTGAAGATGTCTCCGTCTTCAATCGCTTCTTCACCATCCAAAAAGGACTTCTCGTAAAACTGGAGAAAAAGGGTCAGTGATGGGGTTTAGACTATCGTAGATAATGTTCAAGATTTCGACAGATCTAGTAGTATAAGAAGCTATTTCATATAAGTGCCAAGTCAATTTCCATGTCCTCAAGCACTTCTTCCCACCTGAAGAGACGGTTGTTGCTCAGCCCTGAAACGGCCATGTCTCGCCGGTGCCATACCTCTTCTAAAACAGATATAGCTAGCACCCCATGATTGAGCGCCATTGTGGCCAGGCTCTGCAGTCGCCGCTTGATGTGTTGTCTTCGTTCAAGAGCGTCAATCTCAGCGCCGATAACGACAAGAGCCCAGCCAAGAAAGCTGCCGGGCCCAACAGTGTCAGGAATGTCGGGAATCAGCCGAAACACATCGTCAACACTTGACTGAATTTCCATTGGACACTCTCCTCCAACAGTCGGGTTATGAAGGATACGATAGACGTAGATGTGAAGGGCGTGTCTAAACACCTCAGCCGATGCTCTGGCTGCTTGCCGAACTTCTAAAGTATCCAAAATATCCGCAGGCACGAGACTCTCGCAAATGCTGGAAGTACACTGTTGCGCTCCAATCATGCCAAGGGAAGGTAGATTTTCTGGCCCTAATTGGGTTGCCTGAATGCGCCGTTGCAGTTTCTTTGCTTTTCCATACACCGCTCGCAATCCAAGCATATCGTCATCAGTTGAATACGCTCTCAATCGCATCACCTCATCGTGCAGGCGAGCAGATTCGACCTTCGGTTGTTAGCACCTGTTCAGTCTCTCGCAGAGTTGAAGAGGCCCAAGAACGGAAACATACCAAAAGTTCAGGGAAGCCGATGTAAAACCCAGATAGCACGTCAACAGAGCCTGAGCTGCAGGCTTGAGGGAATAGAACGCTCAGCAAATTGTATGCTTTCTCTCTGAATAGGCCTGGCATGTGTAGAATTACTTGTGTCGCTATTAACCCCAAGAGGCCCGTCAAGAAGGGGTCAACGTCAGAACACCCGTCGCGCAACCGGACCCAGGTTAGCAGCCCTTCATAGTGATATTTCCAGCGCTGGGTGCCTTCACAAAGCTAGAAGATAAAGGTCAGATTCCCCCTCAAAAAAGATTAAGGAATATGAGCACCTCATAAATGAGCAGGAGCAGCATCGTCATGAAAGTGATCTCGCTGCGAGCCTGTGCAGGCTTCAGTAGTCTCTTTTGCAAATGGTGCAATGCCTTCCGCAGGTGGAATTTCGGCGCGGAATCCTTGCGTCCATGCCAACGATTGAGATGAGAGCTAGACACCGTGAGGATAGCATTCAGTAGAGCCGCATCATTCAATGACACGACAGCGAGCCGCCGATAGCCATTGCCATCATAATCAACGGCTAGTGATAATCGAGCAATATTCTCTGTACGGCAGAGTAAGCCCGCATCATAATGATGTTTTAGGCGCAAAAAACATACTGATAAAGTGCTCCATCAACTTGTTCTCATCGGACGGGAGGCCGAGAGACGACAGAGAAAACAGAAGAGCTGGGGAAGATGTTTGTTAGATGATCTAATAACATTTTGTGAGACACTTACCGTTGGACGAGCCAGGCTCTAGTGATTCTGTCTTTCGGATTTGGTCTCTGCTATGTGACCAGGAGTAAAGAGCATGATAACCACCACAGAGTCTCCCAGATCCGAGGCAGCGGCTGCAAACTAAGACAGGGACCCCTGATTAGCACCTGGAAAGAAGATTTCTGGTGACCAAAGGCAGCCGTACACGGAAGGGTCTTGTCGCAGGCATCACTGACACCCTGTTCAGCGCATGTCCGGCAGCTTCCATTGGTCTGAACCTCCAGTTCGGGTAGATTTGGGTTGAAAGCTGCCATATGTTAAACTCGAAAGCAGACGTGTGAAATAGTGATTAGTTCAAAGGCGAGGAGAGTAGTCATGGACTTCTTGAACTGCCTACCACAAAATATTTCTTGACAATATCAATACCGTTAATTATCTTGTCTCAATTTCGGCCTCTACCATCTGCCTATCTCCGGGCTCAGTGGCCATTGCAGCCATGACGACGACCCTTGTCTGCGGGCGTGTGGGGGTTCGTCGCCCGTCACCAATACCTTCTGGGACGTTTGTCAGCCACACCAAGGATCCTCCAATCCGCAAGCCAGAAATACGTCCACTGGAAACAGGAATTCAAGCCCCAGTGGTGCAGAGAGCTTCTGTATTCTAGTTTGTCTTCATTTCAACTACTGTTGGGCACTTCATGCATTGGAAGCACAAACAGGGTCATTAAACGTCACTTTTGCTGACCCCATGACTTCAAGATCGTAAATCGTGTCGGCTGTACCCCTTGTGGAATTTTGTGTGGGACGCCAGTCATATCAGATTGCCGTTGATGGCAGTAAGGAGTCACCATATGCAAATGGCAGGTCACTATCAACGCCAGGCCAGAGTGGAACAGACTACCTTATCTATGCCCGGCTTGATAACGGAGTAGAGACATCAAGTCGACGTTCGGGAATATGACAATGATCATGCAGAACACTGTGATTGTGTCACTGCAAACCGCTAGTGCCGGTATCCCACCTGCAGATCCCACCTCAGACCGGGCTTCAGCAGATTGCCCACTCACGTAAAACTCCGTTTATCTTTAGTCTGTGCTCTTCCAGCTTTCTATCAGCAAACGGCCATCAACCAAGGTCTTTTGTCTGCATGAGCTTATCTACAATCCGCTTCGTTGGTTCGCCTTCACAAACATACCCATCCACCGTTTCGTGTTAGCATGCGTTGTCCTCTTGGGTTTTGGCAATCGTAGCTTATCGCGTAACTGGAATCCTAGCTATATGAAATAAGAGAAAAATTGGGACAATACAAAATTCAAATATGAACAATCTGGTCATGCGCCGCGAGCTTGACAGAGAGCAAACCCAATTACAATTTATTTTCATGAACCAACATTTTCTGTTCCAACAAGCAAGACCAAGCCGAAATCAGGGACATGTTCATTTACTTCAACTCCTATGGGGCTATCGCAGCATGTGTGCTGACGGCAATGTTCTCAATGGCCAACATGGCATACGACGCCAGCATGATCAATCAACTATTGCTCAGCCAAAGCTTTTATGAATGTAGGCATCATATCCAATTACCACTAGTGCACCTTTTGAGAAAAGGAATTGAATGCATGGACTTGAACTAACAAGTAAAATGGAGTTTTCCGACTGAATGCAACATACATCGGGTTGAACGTCGCCATCGTGAATGTAGGAAGCTTCCTCGCAGGCCCCATCGCTGGGGTCTTGGTAGACTGGGTGGGTCGCAAGAAATCCCTTGCCGTAGGCAATAGCATTGCCATTGTGGCGGTTACAACCCAAGCTCTCGCAAAGAACGGTGAGATGTTATTGTATCATTCAAGTCCTGGGCCTAATTCACTCGCAGAACCCACACTTCTTGCCGGTCGGCTCATTCTTGGAATGGCCTTCATCATTAATAGCGTTGCAGGACCCTCGTTGGTTGCCGAATCCGCTCCAGGCCGCTGGCATGGTTTGTTGACAAATTACATCAGCCTCGCCATGCCAGTTTTTGGAACCATCAGCGGTGCTGCAATATTTGGAGTTTACCTTGCCGGCTCGGACTGGGCATGGCGAGGTGCAATTCTGGGAGAGCTTGGTGGCCCGATACTGGCCATCATTGGGCTAGCGTTCGTCCCAGAGTCTCCTCGTTGGCTGATCGATCAGAACCGAACTGATGAGGCCCTGGAAGTTCTTTTGCGAATGCACCCGCCAAATGCGGAACGGGGCGTCATCGTGGAGGCCGAATACCAACAGATGCTCCAGACAATCCACTTCGAAAAGCAGTCTGAAGAGTTAGGCGCAAGCAGCTGGGGAGCTTTGGTCAAAACGGCATCCGATCGTCGCCGTTTTGCTATTGTGGTATTGACGAACATCTTTTTCCAGATTTCCGGCTCAAACACTTTCCCATACTTCTTGACTCTGGTCGTACAATCTGCCGGTATTGTTGAAGCACGGACAACACTTCTCGTCAACCTTGGGTTGTGCATTTGGGGCTGTTTCGCCGTTGCCTTTGGCGTGTGGTTCTCGGAGTATTTTGGTGCAAAGCGTTTCTTGCTTGCGAGCACGGCTATCATGACACTCTGCCTGGCCATGTTGGCGCTCCTGGGCGCATTGGGGAGTGCCAACCCCAAAGAGCAATCAAGCTTCGGAATCGGCGCGGTGGTTATCATTTTCATCTTCCAGTTCGTATCTTTCAGCTCTTGGATGATTCTCAACTACACTTATCCACCACGGATTCTCCGATTTGGTCAGCGTGCGAAGGGCTTCGCACTGGCGCAAGCGACAGGATTTGCCTTCTGCGTCATGATGACCTACATACTTCCTGTCGCACTCGAGAAAATGGGTTGGCGTTTCTACGCGACCAACGCAGCTTGGAACCTAGGCATTCTTGCGATAATATGGTAGCTCTTCGTTGAAACCAAAGGTATGTGCGCTCCCGTACGATTAGACTGGATTTGTCTCCGTGAGGTCAGTGGCAAGCTTGGAACTGACTCAAATAGGCAAAACTCGCGAGGAAATCGACGCCTTATTTGAGGGAGTCGTGCACTTCGAATCAGGTGCCGAGAAGCTGAATGTAACTGTCATTGACAGCGGGGAAGAGATAGCTGATGGCACTCTAGAGATCGAGGCTTCCAGGAAAATGAAGGAGAGTGGTCCAAACCGACAAATTTCACCTGCTCAGTGATAGGCAGAGATTGAGTTGGATTTCGTACAGATCCGAATGAAACCGGTCACTGATGGCACGCATAGAGACAGAAGTTGAATCATCAAATATTTTGGTATCTTACAGCTTTGGTACAAGGACTGTTCTGTCATGTCCAGTGGTATGTATAAAATGCACGCTATGTCCAGACATAATAGGTACAATGGAAGAAAAAGTGCCACCCCTCAACTAATCCAGGCTCAACCTGCGTGTTCGAAACCGCTTACTGGCCGAAGGTGAACTCGGGGATCTCGATGGTGGTAACGACCCAGGTCTTGCCGCCGTCGCTAGTGCTCATGTCACCGGTGACACCCTGGCCCTTACCCATGGTGTTGATGTAGTTGGCGTCGGCCTTGTCGAGGATGATCTTGGTGTTGATCCAAGAGTGAGCACCGATGGTGCCGCAGTTCTCCTCGGCGCACTCAACGGCGGAGCCCCAGCCCTGGGCGTGGCCGTCCTTGGTGGACAGGGTGGAGATGACCTTGTCGTTCAGGGAGACGGTCTGGGTGTAGTTGCCAGAGGCATCGTCGTACTTGTCTGTAGGAGATATGTTAACGAACTGCGTAGTCAAAGCATGGCAAGCAGCGTAACTTACAGTGCATGGTGATCTTGTCACCCTCGGCGGCGTCGGTGCCCTCGGTCTGGACGGGCATCTGAGAGTTGGCACCGGTGGACATCAGAGTGTAGGCGTAGGCGGACCACTTGTTGGAGTTCCAGTTGTCGGCAATGGACTGAATCAGGTCACCGTTGGAAGTACCCATGCCAACCCAGAGGGACGCGTCGCCCTTGTTGTTGGCGGGGGCAGCGGGAAGGACGAGAGTAGAGGTAGCCTCGCGGATCCAAGAGTCGGAGGCGACGGGTCCGGTGCTGAAGGCAGGGCCCATAGCGGCCTGGACGCCGGCAACGGCCGTGACGGCGAGGGCGGAGACGATCTGGCTGGTGGAAGGCATCTCGTATGTGTATTGGTAGTTGGTAGAGACTGGATTGGGTAGGGATTGAAAGAGTGGCAGTTGGTTGAATTGAAAAGATCGACTAGCGATTGAAGATGATTGCTGAAGTTGTTGGCCAAGAGGGGAACCCCAAACTTGGCGAGAGGATCGCGTTCTTTATAAATCTCTGCCTCCAATTCAGTCAGGCATGTCCGGCTGGCCGAATCCGAAAAGGTCACACGCCTTCGAGCTGGCGCTACGCCCTATACGAGGGCATCAACGAAGGTGGAAAGCCGTACCCGCGAGTTCGGATCCATCTTGTTTCAATCATAATGGTTTTTGTGGGTTTGTCACGGCGGGTTCATGATGGATCCGGGAATACAACTATTCTGGAAAGGAGGTTGCATCTCGCTTGGGCGCTTGCACTGGAGCGAGTGGTGATATTCGCCGAACTAGCCGGAAAATGACATCGGCTGTTGTCAAGTCCTGAGATTGGCGGGCGGAATGGATATTCGGGTTGTTTGATGGGTCATGTAAGCCATTACTCAGGGTTGACGCCTGGAGAGTGCGGAAAAGAGCACGTCTGTAGGCTGTACCCGTAACTTAGTCTTGACTCTAACGCAAAATCTCTGCTATATCGACGCATTTTATCGACTCTATTTCGTCGTCATACCATCTACACGGCGCAAAATCTGCCAAGGGCCACTGCCGAACAGGCGCGATGTGTTTAGCTGAAATTGGGTCTAGCCATCGATGACCCCTGACGCTGTCTCGACAGGGTTGACGCACTTTTGCTCCGAAAGGAGGCGTTTGCGGGTTGATCCACCAATCAATCCGCCGCTCGGATTTAATCAATTTGTTGCTTCTGAAACGTAAATAGACGCCGCAGTTATTCCACCACCAATACCAACGGAGCGCTCCGTCATCCCCTGATCCCCACATTGAATACCCCATTCCCTCTGTCGATTCAAGCGAGATTGTTCTGAACTGACGTTTTGCTTGAGATGAACCAACATGGAAAGTCGTGGGGTTTCATGACACGGCATGCGCTGCGGAAAATTCGCGATTGGTGGGACGACATCCGAAGTGGTGCTGTGGTCGATCGCCCCTTTCCCGAATGGCTCCGCCAAGGCAGCTCCCGTCTCTTGTCAGAAATCAGACGACGGACGAATTCGATCGAGAGTGGTTTTGAAATATTCAGTAGACCACCGCTGTTCTATGGTCGTCGAGCCTCATTGTCTATCGCACGCATTTGGGTCGCATTAAGGCCCGCCGTGGGATGGCGCATCTTGGCCTGAGCTGAATGCTAAAATTGGGGGATCAGTCTAACGGGTAACCATAAATGAATCCTTTTAAGGCTCGGTTAAACTGCCCAACATTAGTGTCAGCAATATATCAAACTTTGGTCTCGTAATTCGAGTGCCGCTATCCGCCCCAAGCGACATTACTACTATAGTCTCTGTTGGCAGCGCTCACTGAGCTCTTTGAAACAACAGTAATATGCCATCGAAGTCTTTATATGTTGTCCTCAGTCATGAGTCTTCATGTCAACTAACCCAAAAAGGTTTTTGATTACATGCATACACTCTGACTTCACCTCAAAGCTACCACAGCGCTTCAATAGCGTCCAATCCCTGCACAAGGTCTTTATGTAAAAGAGGCCACACAAAGAACCTAGTATTACATGTTGTTTCAGACGGTCCTGCGAGAGTTTTCCCTGACTTCGTGAAGCTCATATAGTGAGATGTTCTTGTTCCCCGTCTTCGCAGAGTAATTCGGTCCACATGACTTACTCGTACAATCGGAAAGTGGGCGAAGAATGGATCTCTCGACTCTCGAGGTGGTGCATCAAGCCCGACGATGATTGCACATTGATGAACGTCTAAGCGAAAGTTGGCTAAAGCTGCACGACAATATCGTCTTGTCTCGTTTTCATCTTCACCTCTACTCTCCGGATGTTTGTGCAAGAGTTTCGAAGTCACTGCTATTCAACAAGGGTTCACCTGTGTCACGATTTGCCAAGTCCATAGCCGCGGGGCAACAGCCGCCAGCTGCGGGGAGTGGATTATCGCCAAGAGGCACGATTTCGCTTGGCAGATGGTTGTCCCCCAAGGGGGACGAATGCGAACGTGTTGGCTTGGCGTCAAGCGTTGTCGGACCATGAATGCTTATCACGAACTGCAGTCTTCGTGGCACGAGGAATCGTCATAAGAAAGACCAGATGGTCATTATCTTCCACCTTGCACTTCAATAACCTCAACTTCGCAGCCTCTTGTCTGATACGATGTCCACTCGGTCTTATCTCACAAGTATCCAATCTGACTATCTTCCATCGCGCTGGCTTCCGGCGCAAGATAAGGATACTGCTAAGTGGGCCGCTGGGCTGCCGCCAACGTAGCTTGCTGACATTGGGCCCTTGATTAGCATGCATTCCGTTCCGATAATGAATTTGGATCAGCTAAACCCCGTTACTTCCGTTGGGGCCAGGGATTCGGATCCGGCTCCGCGGGTCGTGAGGCCGCTGTCGGCTCGAACACGATCAAACATGTGTATGCGGACTAGGCGCGTCCGACATAAGCTGCAAGTCTATCGGCCATATCTCTTCTGACACTATCACACTAACGCATTCTCGATGATTGACACACGGAAATTTGACAACGGCAAACGCTGCCAAGTTGCATATGTTTAAATACAAATTGACTGAAAGCCATGTGATCTCCGTGCTTCATTCGGACGTCCTACACTTGCCTAGGCCGTCACATATCCACCGAGTCACCTGCGACAACATGTGGTTTGTGCCTGCTCTCGCTTTAGCTTCACTGGCTCTTGCGGCCCACGTGGACCAAGGGCGCCTTTTTCGGATCAACGATGTCCATTATTATTCCGGAGGAATTCCCGTTGGCCACCTGCGAACCGACCTTCTCCGGAATACCACGACAGAATATGCCGATTTATTGCCTATGACTGTTCTAGAGCTCTCAAATTCTGCGCTGTCGAAAGATGAGCTTTTGAATACTACAACGACCTACGCAACCTCGGACGATGTTTTCCAGCCAGCATTTCTCCAAACTTTGTACCTTCGTCTCAATTCAGCGGGCAACATGACTATTGACGGTTCGGGGCTTTCTGACTGCCTTCAAGAACTGGGTATCTCGATTATGGTCTCATCGTCCCAGATTCAAGGGGTTGCCTCAAGTGTCGAGACATTCAGTGCGAGCCTGGACCTGCCCACGGGACCATACTTCATCTCGGTTCGTAGCGGGAACATTTACAAGGCGTATCGGCTGTACGATGACAACAACTTGGCGTTTGTCCAAGGAGTTATTAGTGACGAGGCAGGAGGTTTCACATCGCTTCCGGCGGTCACTGAAAACGTCATGGCGAAGAGCATTGCGGTGCCATCCCGGCTGCACTACACTGCGACTCAGGAAAAGCCACTTGCCGGCCTTCGCTTCGGTGTGAAGGACATCTTTCACGTCAAGGGTATCGCCACAAGTGGAGGAAACAGGGCCTACTTCTACCTATATGGGCGACAGAACCATACAGCCCCATCTATCCAACGGTTGATTGATCTTGGAGCGGTCCTGGTAGGGAAGATGGGAACAGTTCAATTCGCAAATGGAGACCGTCCGACGGCAGACTGGGTCGACATGCACGCACCGTTCAACCCACGTGGCGACGGATACCAAGATCCCAGCGGCTCATCCACTGGACCTGGTGCTGGTATTGGTGCGTACGAATGGCTAGATTTGGCTGTCGGTAGCGATACCGGTGGCTCGATGCGTGGGCCAGCAGGACAACAAGGAATATTTGGAAATAGGCCCTCAACAGGAGCCATTTCCCTGGATCATGTCATCCCGTTGAGCCCTGTCTCAGACACCGCTGGGATGTTTGCACGAAGCGGTAGTCTATGGGCCAAGGTGACGCAAGCTTGGTACCCGGACTTTGCGTCCAACTATTCCTCGTACCCAAAGAAAGTCTATCGATCCACAGCGGAAGGGGGGGCCTGGTCTGGAGGGTCTAACGAAGGAGCCGCTAAAGTGATCGACTCTTTCGTTGGAAAGCTTGAGCAATTTCTTCAAGTTAAGTCGGCAGCCGCCAATTACACTCAATTGTGGATGAAGACGCACACCAACTTGACCACAGACGTCAACGAGATGCTTTACCTGACATACGGCGTTTTCGTCTCTCACGACCAGTGGCGACTGCATGGGCAACCATTCTTCGAGGATTACGCGGCCAGGTATGATGGAAGACAGCCATATATCAACCCGGGCCCCCTGGCAAGATGGCAATGGGGTCAGCTACATGCAACCGACGATGTCTACGCGCAGGCCCTCCACAATATCTCCATCTTCAAGAGTTGGTACGAGACGGATGGATATGGCAGAAAGGACGCAGAGACTTGCTCTGAGGGACTTTACATATACCCTTGGTCCATCGGCGAGCCTTCGTACCGTGACCAATACTTTCAAGCCCGTACAACACCGCCGCTTGGCTTTGACGACTCGTCAGTTCCAGTCATGGCAGGGGCTCCGGAAGTTGTTGTTCCAATCGGTGAAGTTACATACAACAGCGCCAAGTCCATGCATGTCGAATACCTCCCCGTCACAATGGCATTGAGGATGGCGAGGGGGTGCGACTACCATCTAGCAAATCTTGTCCGGGATCTTGAGGAAAATGGTGTTCTCCGAGCAGTCGCTGCCGGACCAAGGCTGTTCCCATAGGTCCTCTTGTGTAACTTAGAGTCAATGCAGCCCCCAAACTAGGTTGATGATGGAAGCGAAAGGATCGACGACCTTGAACCCCACTGCTTATTACTTACCTAACACCTGCAAATTGCAATCATGGATATGTCTAGAGTCCAATTTTTTCAAATGTCTCTCAGCGCGTATCTTAGCGTCAACTACGTCGGACCGGGTGAATATTTATTTACCCCGCATATGTCATGGGGTGACGTTGTTCAGCACGAGTTTAGGCCATCGTCAGGCGTCAATGGATGATTACTGATCAGCCTAGGCGTCTAAAGGTCGTCTATAATGAAGTAAATATAATGGATTACGTTTCCTATTTAAAAGTGCATTTCTGTCCCGCGCTCCAGTTTCAATTTCAGTAATAAATTTCACCTTAATAACATCGACAGCTACTAATATTATCATGCCATTCTATCAGGTTTACCACACGTACCCGCTTGAAGGGCACCAGCGTCAGGCGATCGCTACTTCAATCACCAACTTGCATTGCAAAGCGTTCAGTACCCCGTCCTTTTTCGTACACGTGAACTTCATCAAACAAGAAGACTCACCGGCGGACGATACCTATTTCATGGCCGGCAAGCCTCATTCGTCGAACTCTAACCGAATCGTTGCTGTCGTCCGCACATCGCCAAATCGTACAAAAGCAGATTGGGACAAGCTTGCAGCTGATATCGAGGATACATGGGATGAAGTTGTTCAGAACAAATTACATGGTTCGGAGAAGGGGGCACTGGATAGGAACAAGAGCTTTTTGATGGTTGTGTTCACGCCAATGTTGGCAGTCCGCGAGGGTGGCATGGCTATCCCAGAGGCAGGACATGAAAACGAGTGGCTCAAAAAGCAGTTGCCATATTTCAAAGACATGAGTGAGAAACACGGCTTGCAGGAGTTCACGGAGATGCTTGAAGAGTTAAAACATCGCGGCGTATCGGAATGAATGCTTGGACATATCGATCTTACTGACACTTTTGTTTATCTTTGTGTCGCAAATCTACACTTTTGCCTATTACATGGCTCTTGAAGGAGTGATTGTGTCGTGGGAATGATACTTTTCATGTCCAACTTGCTGAACAGCGGTCTGTTGGGTCAGCAGATCTGATCCGCAACTGTTGTCCGATCAACGTTCCATTGGCGAATGAAGACTGCCATTGGCATTTTCTCTGAGGGAAATGAACTGTTGGCCCTTAAACCCGAACGTCGCATTATCATCTTCCCTGCATACCCGCAATCGCCATGAGTCCCATCAGAATCGTATTGGCGAGGACACACACTTGACAATTAAGTGCAAGTCGACCAATCGATGCTTGAAGCTGTTCCAATCCAATATCGCTTGCAACGGTGTTCAAGAAACGGTAAAGAGACCAGCAGGGAGCTGCAACTTCAACTGACGCATAGAGTCCAATCAGCAAGAGTAATGGTTTGAGGACTAAGGCATCTTATCAGTCTACTGATACCGCCCGGTCATGATTAGCTTGGTCATGGTGCGATTCCCCGCATTCGCGGCTACGCCCTTCGCATGTAGTCAGCTTTGGACGATCCCGGCAATAAGACTGGCGTACCCATTTTGTAAGGGACTTGTGTAAAGTAGTCTCGATGAATGCAGCAATTAAAGCGGTGAGTCACAGATAACCCTGCCGAAGCAACCCGCGTTTCCACTATGAATGATATCTCGATTACAAATGCCCAACTGTGAACTCGAAGAGTCATGCTGCTATTTATACCTATTGTTTGGGGCTCTGCCATGAAGCGCATCAGCTTCCACACCGAAATTTCGATTTCTCCCAAAGGCGCCTTGTTGGAGTAGTTCTCTCATATTTATCTTTCCTACCCATTCCACGTCAGGTCTCCATGTCACCATCTGCAGAAGTCACGCTGCCAATCCGTGGGCAAAATGGAACGCCTCAACAGAGAATCGGGCCAAACGGGCTTGATGCGTCATCCTTGACTTATGACTACACGACTGCGCCGAGGCCCGTTCCAGACGAAGCAACAGCAAATGCGGCAGAGGAAACCATATGCACAGATCATATGATAACTGTACAATGGAAAGCGTCCACAGGATGGGATGCTCCGAAACTCAAACCCTTTGGTCCTCTGAGCCTTTTGCCTACAGCGTCAGTCTTGCACTACTCGACGGAATGCTTCGAAGGACTTAAAGTATACCGTGGCTTCGATGGAAAGTTACGCGTGTTCCGTCTAGAGCGCAATGCTGCTCGTTTCCGCGTCTCTGCGCAGCGCATGGCGCTCCCAGATTTTGAACCGTCTGAGGTCAAGAAGCTTATCATGGCTCTCCTCTCTGTCGACGGAGATCGATGGCTTCCGAAAGACCGGTCTGGCAGCTTTTTGTACGTGCGACCTACTTTGATTGGGACGCATGCCAACCTCGGCGTTCAAGCCCCTAAAAAAGCCTTGATATACATCATTGTCTCGTTCATGGCTCGATTGGATACAATCGAGGGGGAGTTAAAGCTATACACCAATCCAGAAACGGATGTTCGCGCTTGGGTTGGTGGGTTCGGGTACTGCAAGGTTGGCGCCAACTATGGCCCGACGGTGGTGGCGACAAGTGAGGCCTCTTCCCAAGGGTTCCAACAGATTTTGTGGCTCTACGGGGAGAACGGACAGGTCACCGAAGCCGGAGGCAGTAATTTCTTCATTGTGTGGAAGCGCAAAGATGGAAAGAGAGAGTTGGTGACTGCTCCTCTGGACGACAAGCTCACCTTGGACGGCGTCGTCAGACGAAGCTGCCTCGATTTGGCTCAGGAGAGACTGATCGAAGAGCTCGAAACAACCGAACGCACGTACACCATTGCGGAAGTTATTGAGGCCTCTTCCGAGGGCCGCCTTCTGGAGGCTTTCGTCACTGGCACGGCAGTAAGTTCCCAATGATACCAACATTTCACCGAAGAAATAGACTGACATTTCATAGTGGTATGTTTGCGCAGTCTCCCAGATTCGTCATCGTACTCAGGACATCCATGTTCCCATGGGCTCACAGGGTGACGGTGGGGACGTCTGTAAAAAGATCAAAGGATGGCTGGGAGAAATTTTATACAGTGGAGTTGACCATGATTGGGCTGAGATCATTGAAGAAAGGCAGATTGACTAGCTGCAAGAGATGGAAAAGTTTGGTTCATTGAATTTGACGCAGCTATCGGTGTCACAGTAGACAATCCTCTCAAATCGTGTACACATCCATCCTCTTTACCCAAGGTTTCCAGACTTTCTCCATGCCTTCTTCGTACTGCCAACCCGAGAAGTCATCGTTTGTAAGAGACCAGGTATCCAAAACAAACTGGCCACCCTCTCGTACGCGATAGATGCCTGGGAGAGCCCACATCATCCAGTTGACGCCGTACTTGACTGTCATGTTTGTCATGCAACTGACGAATGTGTTGCTTAGCATGCTTGAATCTTGCCCCCATCCAAACTCGGAAATGACCACTGGGGTGATCCTCTTAGCAGGTTCGCACTTCCCACCCAGAAGACTGCAGTATTCTGGGGATTCGATACCCAAGGCATTCAATCCTCTCCAGTACAGCTCGGCCTCAGTGAGCTTGCAGTTCTCCGTTGCCACAGTCTCGGTTAGTCCGTCGTACATGTGAAGCTCCCAAAAGACTTTGTCCTTGAAAGGATGTTCGTCCAGGTCAAAATAGACAGGGTTGGAAACCCAACCGTTCTTGATTGTGTCGCAGTGGTAACAGTCATGGGTCATCAGGTTCTTCTGATTCACGAGGCCTGATAGATCCTCATCAAATTGCATCCCAGACCAGCTGATGAGAATGTCCGGGTTCACCTCATGGATGGCGTAGGCACCCGCTGTCATGTTGCCGACGTATGTCTGCCAGTTGTACTGGAGTGGCGCATCAGCCAGCTCAGTGATGTTGTAACTAGGCCTAAGCTCGTTCCGGAGGGACATGCTCGCAACGTTGGGATGCTTGCTAGCCCAGCGAGCAACATAAGCTAGACCTCGAAGCCATTTGTCGACAGGAAAGTTGAAACTGTCGAACCACGCGTTGCCGTCGATGTTGCTGCAGCACCACATTGCTTTGCTGACATGGTTATCTGGGTGAATCAAAATTCCTTTCTGTTGCGCAATTTCTGCGATGTCGGACCAGATCTCAAATCTCGTTGTGTCCAATGACCATGAAGGGTTCTTGGAAACTATCATATCAGCGACGCGAGTGCCATTCTCAACGCCCATTCCGTTGATGAGAGCTTCTTTCAGAGCAACGTCGGAGCCGTTCCGCTCGTAGATCTGATCCACCATTTCGATGGCGAAAGGCATCCTGAGCATGTTGAAGCCCGCACTTTTGACCAAGTCCAGGATGTCGGAAACAGATTGGTACTCAACGCCTTCAGGAATCATGGTCTCGCCTAGAAGTTACCGTATCAATGGAGATATTTACAAAGAGCGGCGTGCAGACTTACCACTGAGTGGCCAATTCAAGCCAGCCCATACGATTGTCTCATTCCGAGAGTTGACTATGTCTCTTCCTGCGGTACGAAATGGCCCATACGGCCAGATACCTGTTGTGTTGTCTCTGCCGAACAAGACATTGTTTGCAATCTTCGCTGTCTGTGTAGCAATCACAGGGATGGCATACACTAGAGCAAGAGTCGACTTCATTATGGCACGTAAGCTGTGAAAGAAGTGAAACTTAACGGGTCGGCTTCTGGCATTCGATGTGATTGCCAGCGTTCACTGAGCAGGTTTTATGACATTGGTATCTAGGATCAGAGACTGTGCTTGGGATGGCCATGGTATTGACTTAATATTGGGCCCCTGATAAGCACTGTAGCTGGCCAGCCGGGAAGTTAGCCGGCATTCCTGTCTTATGATGCCGACGACTAAGATGGGCTTTATGGACTAGGCAGATTGTCATCATTCGTTACCCCGTCCATGCATCTCGAGCCTATATCGATCCACTATACATGCATATGCGAGGGGCTCGGGAGGGAGTACACCGATTTGACCCCGCATCCTACTATCGGTTTGCCGGCCATAACCGGCGAATTAGGGCCGGTTGGCGGCCCAGACCGGGTGGCGATTAGCAACACAGCACTAAACTAGGTGGAAGATTGGGGCGATGAAATCATGGTTTTCCAGTATTAATCCTAAAATTAGAAGATAAGAAAACAAGATGGTATGGTAATTACAATATCTCGTCCAATGACAGAGTCTGGTATCTCGTCTATGTGTGTAAACAGTAGTCTATGTGCAAACGCCCCCTTTCACTCCACTCCATGTTTGGTTATGTGTCTAGTAGCCGTTGAGAATCTGGGCGGAGATCTTCTCAGCGAGCACATACACGGTGCTCTGAGGGTGACCAGGGGGAAGCAGCGCAAAGCTACTGGCGTCAACAACTCTCAGGCCGTTGACACCGATTACCTTTGCGTCCTTGTCAACAACAGCGTTGGGGTCATCGCTCTTGCCCATTCTGCAAGTGCAAGACGCGTGCCAAATGGTCATAACATCGTTGCGAATCTGCTGGATGATCTGAGCATCAGTCTTGACGGCGGGGCCAGGGTAGTACTCCTTGTTGTCAGCGAGAACGGGCTGCATAGCCTTGCTGCTGAAGGCCTGGCGGAGGCGCTTGTAAGTAGCAAGAGCAATGGCGACGTCAGTGGGGTCGGTGAGCCAGTTGGGGTTGATAAGAGGCAAGTCCTTGGTGTCGGCTGAGGCGAGAGTAACAGTGCCGCGAGACATCGGGGCAACAAGACCGCCGAGAATGGTGGCGTACTGGTAGCCATCCTTGGGCTGGGTGAGAAGGAGGTTGGCGAAGTTGCCGACGTAGCCGGGGGCAGTGAGGTACTCAATCTCGGGCCAGTCCTCGGGAAACTGAGAGTCGAGGATGGCGGCAGTGTCGGCGCTGATGAGGTCACGAGGAGCCTTCTCCCAGCCGAGGAAGTCGCAAACAGGGTTGGTGAGAGGACCCTGCTTGAAGATAGAGTACTGGAAGGCAAATTGGGCGGCAGTGTAGATGAGGTCGTTGGCAAGACGGGTCAGAGTCTGAACCTTCACGCGCCATGTAGGTCCGAAGAAGACGTGATCCTCCATACCCTGACCAACACCAGGGCGCTCGGCGACGATGGGGATGTTGAACTTCTGGAGCTGATCCTTGGGGCCGACACCGGAAACCATGAGAAGCTGAGGGCTCTGGAAAGCACCGGCCGAGAGGATGACTTCCTTGCGGGCCTTGAGAGTGTAGGTGACGAGACCGGTATTAACGACAACTCCAGTAGCGGTCTTAGAGCTGTCGAAGAGAATCTTCTTGGCCATGGACAGCTGGAAGACCTTCAGGTTGGAGCGGCCGATGGCCTGGTTGAGGAAGGAGGTTTGACTGGACTCGCGCTTCTCAGTCTCAGGAGCGATAGTATCGGAGCAGTACTGGGCGCCCATCAGCTCGCCGCTGTTGAAGTCCTGGGCCTGAGGAATGCCAATCTCGTTGAGAGAGGGCTCCATGTAGCTGCTGAAGGGCTGAGCGTAGTTTGCGTAGGAGACGCGAAGAGGCCCGCCCGCAGGGGAGAAAGCATCGGGGTTGTACTCGGCGCTGGCGTTGGCAGCACGGGAAGAACCGGGTGGGGTGAACTTGACGCTCTTCTGGAAGTAAGGGAAGAGGGAATCCCACGTATAGCTGTCATCGCCAACAGCGTCCGCCCATTTCTGGTAGGATTGCTTTGTACCACGCTGGTAGATCATGAAGTTGCGTGCCGAGCTAAGTTGCATTAGTTCTATCCCATTATCATCTTGTTTCCACATTATTACTCACCTTCCACCGAGACACTTTCCACGAGCATAGTGGATGCGTCTGTTGTTGGCACCAGCCTGAGGCTGAGTGATGAAGTTCCAGTCAACGAGAGGGTTGGTGTCGAGAGGGCTGGCGCCCGCGAAGAGGGTATCACCAGCAGGCGTGTTGCCAATGATGGGGTTTGTAATCTGGTAGAATGTGCCGGCCTCGATCACAGCAACTGAGATGCTGGGGTTGGCACTCAGTCTGTTGGCCATCACAAGGCCGGCGGTACCACCGCCGACAATAACGTAATCAAAAGTCGCGTCCTTGGCGTCTCCTGCGTTGCCGCCGAGTTGGCGCTTGAATTCCGCGTGCTGACGCGCCTCATCGTCGGCTGGGGCGGCCTTGGTCACGCTAATGATGGCGACAAACGTCGCGATGGCTTGAGAAACGCGCATCTTGTTGAGTCTGAATGGAAGGAAAGAATGAATGAATGAGAGTGAACTGTCAAGTCTGGGGATGAGAAGAACATGTTTCGAAGGATCGTCAAGAGATTATATGATGTCTCAGGTCTCAAGGAACGTTGCGGGACTGGCCGAGAATAGATCATCATGATCCTTTACGAGAAGTCTAATTGATGGTTAGGTCAGGTCGTCGACGGGTGGAAGGAAGATCTTGAGAATCAAGCCTCATTGAGAATACTAAAGCTTGTCTAACTCGCTTGTGGTCAAGCGTGCCGAGATTTAGCGTAAGAACAGACATTTGAGATGTGAAATCATCCATGTTCACCGCCCACCACCGCTCTTAGGGCGCGCTCTGGTCCTGTGGTGGTCAGTGGCTTGGACCCTTTGGAGAACGTGAAAAAGTGATCACTGATCACCATCATGATTGTCAGGCACAGAAACGTGGCGGACATGGGTTGCGGGGGGCGCGACCCGGGGCTAAATGCAGAATTGAGTTTAGCCCGCCAATTCAGGGGAGAGTTGCGATGCTGAGAGAAAGAGAGCAGGATTTGTGTCCGGCTGAACCTTCAACTTCTAGACGCAGTCGGGACGGTGACAGACTTCAGGGCCTCCCGATCAGATTACCAAATCCGGGAACGCGCCAACATGTGGCGTTGCGACTCGGCTAGAAATGCTGGGATAAAGAGGTCGATGATGTCTTCCATCCAGTGACAGTTTAGCCCGTCCCAACCAAGAGAACCTCTTTGTCCTGACTTGGCATAGAGAACAAAGTCGCTTGTTTCAGGACGTGACGGAACAATTGACTTCGATCTGTCAGCCTGTAGGTCAGACGAACATCTCAAATATTAACAAAACTGTCGTTCTTCCGGCGGATATGATTCTTGGTAGCCGTTGCAACCAATACCGCGAGCGATTGAGCGAGTCTAACCCTCAATCAGTTCAAGCTTGCGAGCGACTCCGACTAATTAACCCCGGATTATTCGGCCGGCTTGGGAGGTGACCGTGAAACGGTCATATCGGCCGAATGGGGACTTAGGTGCGCTGCAGAGCAACCACATTTTGATGCATTCCACTGTCGTAACTGCGGAATTCATCTCGCCCTGAGTATCTATTTTTCGGAAGATACACTGTCGAGGTATTCACGCCGCCATGTGCTAGATAGCGGTATCACGTCCGTCTGGGCTGAAAGAGTCGACATCATTCCCGGGAAGCATCTCGAGGAACCTCATTCTCCGCTGACAGAGGATATACTCTCATCCATGGTAGTAAAGACTCTCAATGAACAACGGCAAAGAGAGAACAAGACTTTTGAAATGCATTGGGCCGATGGGGTAGACAGGCTTTGGCGGTGCGCTGAAACACGTTGTTACCAATTACCTTAACTCATGCATCGGCCTGAAGTGGAGGAATCAAGGAAATAGCAAAGATCGGCGCGACTACCTTCATGAGCAAAGCAATATGCCGAGGAGATCAAGATTGAGAAAGAAAAAGATGTCTGGTCGCTGTCGACGAACAGCTAACGGCCACTCAGCAATGACAGGCCTGAACAGGCGTTGGAAAGGTTGCGAAGAGCCCTCAGTGCCCAAGACTTGAGTTGAAGGGACTGAAAGCACGTGGCCTTGAGAGAGTTGGTCGTTGAATCTCTCGGTCTCGTTTTTGATTCGGTCTTGACCCATAGGATACACGTATATGAGCCTCAGCGCCTGTCTGGAAACTCTTTCATATTAAATCACCGTCTGTAAAGACCTGGGGCTCAAATAGGTAACTACTCTTTCTAGCCGCCAAGCGCAAATGACTCTGTTTTGTGCTCGAAAGGCACCTGTTCCGCTTAGTCACAGCCGCTCCGCCCCCAAGGATGCAGGGATTCGCGGTCGCTAACTCTGTTCAGTCCGGAGCGCTGGGTTCGTCCAATTGCCCCTTAATCAAAGTTTCCAGGGGCTTGATGTTTATTTGACACAATAGTCAACACAAACAGATGAGCAATTGGCTAACGTTTTCACTCTCCTCGCTTCTCCGAGTTGGCATGACTTCATTCTACATAGGCTAATTGCCGGATCACCTCTCTTTCTGGCCAAGTTCTCCTCGTACTGGTGGACTTTTCAGGGCTGATGGAGCTCGAACACCCTGTCTGCGCCTCGTCTGATTGATGGGTTGCAGCGGGCGGCCCGCGAGCATCCCACCTCGGCTGTCGGAATGCTTCTGAGAAGGTTCTTTCGCGATATTAAGGTTTTCTGGGGAGCTTTTCAATCTATTCGAGATGTCTTCTTCCCCTGAAGGCGCAATTGACGTCCAAATGTCCCCTGCCACTCTATCGGAGAGATCACTAACCAAGAGAAGAATACTGCCCGAAAGCGAGGGTGAGAAAAGTATGGACATGTAAATAGTAGACAGCCCCCCCAATTGAAGTTGTTTGCTCTTCCATCACCTGTTCAAACCAGTCCTTTCTTTTTTTCACTGACATTCGCTTTCATCGACACTCTTTTCGATCGACGACATTCGCTTCACCCTGGCTGGCCCATTCAAGATTTCACGCATTCTTTAGAGACTCGAGTGACCAGACCAACCAACAAAACTCCCCCGAAAATGAGAGGCGCCGGACTCATTCTGGCGGCGGCGGCATCCGCCCGCGCCGCCTGCGACTGGAAGAACGTCCACACCGGAGGCGGCGGTGGCTTCGTCCCATCCATCCAATTCCACCCGACCGAGAAGGGCGTCGCTTTCGCCCGCACCGACATCGGTGGCCTCTACCGCCTCAACGACGACGATTCTTGGACTCCCGTCACCGACGCGAACGGCTTTGCGCACGACGGCAACTGGAACAGATGGGGCATCGACGCGCTGGCCCTGGATCCTGCCGATGCGAACAAGGTGTACATCGCGACGGGCATGTACACCAACGACTGGTACTTTTCGCGATGCACTTCGTGTAAAGACACCTGGCTGACTATCTCAGGGACCCGAACAATGGAACGATCGCCCGCAGCTCCGACAAGGGCGAGACATGGGAGGTCACCACGCTCCCCTTCAAGGTCGGCGGCAACATGCCTGGACGCGGCATGGGCGAGCGTCTCGCTGTCGACCCTAAGAACTCTCAGATCCTCTACTTCGGTGCCCGCAGCGGCAAGGGCTTGTGGAAGTCTACGGACGGCGGTGCGACTTTCGAAAAGGTCTCTTCTTTCGAGGCCGTTGGTACTTTCCGCCCCGGTGCCGAGACCGATGCCTACAACGGCGACCTTCAGGGTCTGACCTTTGTCACCTTCGATGAGACCTCCGAGGCTGTCAATGGTGCCACCTCCCGCATCTTCGTCGGTACCGCCGACAACACCACTGCTTCCGTCTACGTTAGCACCGACGCCGGTGCTACCTGGGGCCCTGTTGCCGACCAGCCTGCCAAGTTCTTCCCTCACAAGGCTAGACTCTCTGTCGCTGAGAAGGTCATCTACTTCACCTACTCTGATGGCTCTGGCCCGTACGACGGTACTCAGGGTGCCGTCTACAGATACGACCTCACCTCCGGCAAGTGGACTGACATTACTCCTACCTCCGGCAGCGATCTCTTCTACGGCTTCGGCGGTATTGCCGTCGACGCGCAGAAGCCTGGCACCATCGTCGTTGCTACCCTCAACAGCTGGTACCCTGATGCTCAGCTCTTCCGCTCCACCGATTCCGGTGCGACCTGGAAGAAGATCTGGAACTGGGGAGCTGACGGCAAGGTTGCGCCTCAGTACACCATCGGCGCCAAGAACGCCCCCTGGATCGAGACCAACTTCCTCGACATCGACACCAAGAAGCTTGGCTGGATGATTGAGTCCCTCGAGATCGACCCCCACGACAGCGACAGATGGTTCTACGGCACCGGCCTCACCATCTACGGCGGCCACGACTTGACCAACTGGGACAAGAACCAGACTATCACCATTGAGAGTCTCGCTTCTGGTATCGAGGAGATGGCTATCTCTTCCCTGGCCTCTGCCCCTGGCGGTTCCGAGTTGCTCATGGCCACTCTCGACAACAACGGCTTCACCTACGACTCCGTCGCTGACCTCAGCAAGGCTCCTCAGACTGCCTGGACTAACCCTTGGTGGGCTAGCAGTGTCTCCGTCGACTTCGCCGGCAACGATGTGACCAAGGTTGCTCGCATCGGTAAGGTCACTGGCACTCCCCAGCTGGCTCTCAGCAGCGATGGTGGTGCTACCTGGACTGTTGTTAACGCTACTGGCACCACTGCTGCTGATGGCACCGTTGCTTACTCTGCCGATGGCGATGTCGTCCTTTGGTCTACCCTCAACGAGGGCGTCCTTGCCTCTCGCAACCAGGGCAAGCTTGAGAACGTCACCCTGCCCGCTAGTAGCGTTATCGCTAGTGACAAGAAGGCCGCCGGCGTCTTCTATGCCGGCTCCAAGTCCACCTTCTACGTCTCCACCGACGGTGCCGCCACTTTCACCGAGGCTCCGCTCGGCAACGTCACCGAGATCCGCCACATTGCTGCCCACCCCACCCAGGCCGGCGAGATCTGGGTTTCGACTGATGCTGGTATCTTCCACAGCACCGACTCCGGAAAGACCTTCTCCCCCCTGTCTTCCAGCCCCTCCAACGCCCATGCTGTTTCCGTCGGCAAGGGTGACGGCATCGCCTGGAACCTTTACGTCTTTGGCAACGGTTCCGAGGGCAAGAAGCTGTACGGCAGCGCTGATGGCGGTGCTACCTGGGTCGATATTCAGGGTTCCTACAGCTTTGGTGCTATTGACGGCGCTGCTCTCGTTGGTTCCGCCAACGAGGCCAACGTTGTCTATGTTGGTACCAATGGCCGAGGTGTCATGCATAGCTCGTGCCCGATCTCCAACTCTACTGTGGCGCCTGCTGCTTCCCCTACCAGGAGACAGCTTCGCAGCCGTCCTATGAGATTCGGTAGGGCCATCCATAACAAGCACATGCACTAGGCGGGAAATATGTAGAACAAAACGAAACACTTCACTTCTGATGTAGCCATATTCTGGTCGAAACCCTTACATAGACTATTCTCGAATTCTCAATACGTTTACTTCTGTTCAAAATTCACGTGTCAAACCTTCCTCGGCCGTCTCTATCGGCAAAGACTCTTTATACTTGTGTCTCTCAGACAGACTCTCGATAGCCATGAGCTTTTGACTATTTTCCGTCCGTGTATGTTCTTGTCTTATTCGACCGTTTAGCGAGATGGTATTTTTAAACGCGCTCACCGAGTCGATCCTTAGTTGAGTGGGTGTGCTGCCGTGTGGCCCAGTGGCGATTCTAAGACCAATGAGCCGTCCCAGATATGAGTCTGCCTTACCGATGCAAAATCTTGGCTGCATGTGTCGTATCCGCGTCATAAAACGCCGCTAATGGCTGCCTTCTGGTTCGCATACGCAGGTTTACTCGCGAGCGGCACAGCTGAGCCACGCACTTATTTTGGAAGCGACCTTTCTGCTTCATTCTGATTTATTTCTTTCCTCATTCACGTCTCTCATGCATTCTTTCGAGATGGATGAACATCCCAATCAGACAACCGCTATGGGGAGACCCGATCGATCCCCATCTCCGGTCTCAACCCGTGGTGCTTCAACAGCGTCGGTTTCGCACGAGTCTATCAATATGCAAGCATTGCAAATCGCTTCACAGAGTACTGAAGCCCTTGCGGATGACCGAAGAGGCTCTCAAGAGTTGCACATCGCGTCATCAAACGAATGCAATGATGGCTATGGGGAATACAAGCCGGTCGCGGCAGACGATGGGCTCACATCTCCAGCACAGTATCCAAAGCGAAAGGTTGAACTCGCCACAATACTCGCCGACTGCATTGCAATACTACTACCCCTCGGCCTGGTCGTTTTTGTGATCTTGATCTGGTCTTTGAAAAGCTCTCGGGTCATTGCTGACTCTCATGCTTCTTGGCAGAATGCGATCACGGTTGTGAGTTACTTTTCATAGGTAGTAGTGCTGGCTTTAATAATTTGTTCTAGATGGCGACAGTGCTACCAATCGTATTTGCTTCTGTCGTAGGCCGCCTCATGTCCGAAGGGGCTCGTTGGAGACTTGAGCGCGGTGCCTCCGTGGGTTCATTAGAGCAACTAATGGGTAGCAGAACTGTCGGGGGAGCCATCGTTACATTGTTTCAATTTCATTCTTGGTACCTACTAACATTGGCACTTCTGCTATTGTGGGCCCTCTCTCCACTGGGAACTCAATCACTGTTGCGGATGTCAAAACTACATCATAATCTTGACCTCGGAACCACTCGCACCACATACTTTGACAGCAGCGCTCGAAGTCAACTAGTTGATTGGGCTAGCTTGGGGGCTGGCGGTCCTTCAAGTTCTATTTTGAAGGCGAGGCTTCGTGCTATTGCGGGATTATACTCAACACTTGTCTCAACGCCCGAAAGTATCAAACTTGATACCATGGACCCGTGGGGAAACGTCAAGATCCCATATCTGCGCCCGGAATCTAGTGGTGACTGGAGAGACATACGGCAAGATCTGACCACAGACGATTATTCCTCCTTGGCTGGTGTGCCTCTCAGCGACCTCAACTATGACGGTAAAACAACATTTTCGCTTGAGTCAAGCTACATCCAACTACAATGCAGCAACATCACCACCAGTCCACTCTCAGAGCCAGATGGGTCTTATCGTGACATGATGAGAGTCGACTTACTTCAGTCTGCTTTTTCCGATTTCATTAGCATGTCGGGAGCGCGACACATTTATGAACTTCCAAATGGCACGTGGCATGGCGTTTCGTCGAGCAGAAATATCAGCTCGAGTGACACAACCTGGAGTCTGGGGTTTGATCGTTTCATCGATCCGCTTTGGTTCGGGGGTAACAATACCAATTTCACCGAATTTCGCAAAGGCGCCAAGGGTTCGCGAGCCCAAGACCTTCACAGACTCATTCTATTCCAAGATCAAAAAGGAATCGAAGCTGGTCCTACAAGGCTGCTGTTCCAAGCCAAGTGCAAGGACAGTTTTCACGCACCACAACTTTACTTTACTGGATACTGTGATGTGACTCAAACATATGTTGAGTCTCGCGTCACATGCGATCGATCCACGACTACACGACAGAACTGCTCCGGCGTTGCCCAACGTCCTTCCCAGCAAATGCATGCCCCGGAAAGCATAACGCCGTTATCATTTCCAGTCATTTTCCACGACATATCCCAGGAGCTGCCTCTTGCGGTGGGCGGGGATGTGTCATTTCAAACAGAAACATCCCTCTATTACATCAAAGATCCTAGTCTCCGGAGCATCAACGGAGAGGAACGGGCGTTCCTCGAAAACGTCACTGCCAGGGATTTGGGAGTTCGCTTAGGCCAACTACTCAACTCCTATTACCAATTGACGCAGTTGTCTCTCAATATCACCGAGGGATCCAGTGGGGTTTCTATATTCGAGCCGAACATCTCAGTATCAGGAACAACTAGTAGGGATGTGGTTGTTTTCGGCGTGTCGGATGGCTGGGCTACTCTCTGTATGGCCTCTTGCGCTGCATTACTCGCGGCAGGTATTCTCAGCGTTGTACTTGCTCATTGGGCCCAGACTCCAGAGATCCTGGGTTATGTTTCGACTGTGTTTAGAGACTCAAGGCACATCGAGCTGGAGGCTGAATCGGATCGACTCACCGGAGTTGAACTATCGAAAACAATGATGAAGGAGAGGATTAGATATGGCCTCGTCAGCGAGAAGGGTGGCGAGAAGTTGCGGATGGGTGTTGGGCGTCAGGAAGAAATAAAAGGGTGTAGCGGCAATCTTCAATGAGTGTGACATGTCGGCGCGAATTTTGATCCCAAGAAGCTTGCGGAAATATAAAAACTTTGAGATGCATTGAATTCGAATCTCGGAAATTCGCGTTATTCATGGATCCAAACTGATAGCAGCTAGCCCCTCTACCATTTTCTCCAGGGAAAAATGGGCCTAACGAGGCTCGAGGCTCTCGCCTCTGGACAAAAGTTCTGATTGATGATATTCTCGGGCTTCGCAAAAAGGCCTATACAATAAAGTGTGATAAATAGGAAAGCCGCGTGACTCTTCTTCTTTTCCCACAAGGTGAGCGTGATGTGATTGAGATTATTAAGATGGGCTAGAGTGAACGGAGATACTGCTGCTGTTCCCCGAAGTTATGGGGTCGCTTGCGATCTGAAAACAACGTCAAATTAAGTACCCCCGAGTACCCACTTCTTTTCAAAAATGGACAACCCAACCCCCACCCTGAAGAAGGTCGACATGATGAGACACAGCATCACGGGATCTAGCTTCGAAGATTGGAAGCTTCGCTGTGATTGTGCAACACATATTATTAATATATGCAATATCACGTACACCTTGCGAGTCTTGATCCCTTCTTGAGATGGATTTAAAGCATCACGATATCGACTATCAGACAAATCAACGCGCACATCGAGTGAGAGCATTTTGAAAGATGTTGCAAGGTATATGTTCCAGATCCAAAAGAAGTTCGAGATATCCTATAGTACATAAACATTACCGTGTGCTGTCAGTCATGGACCCCGAGCACAAATCTGGATTTGGGTAAAGATAACCAGTCGAAGTAACTATGCCGGCAATTCGGCACGCACTATATGGTTTTCCTCCCGCCTCCGATGGGGCACAGAACCCTTTGCAGGATTGCTCTTCCAATGTGCTAGCCTTTGGGCTACAAGTGAATGATTTCTCAAGAACGCCATGCCTATTGGTGTCATAGGAGAATCCAACTCGGTCCATTCCATATCATCCACGTTCCCTTCCTCCCACCACTCCTTGTGAGTCTTAAAAACGGCATACGCCAGAGAATGTTGATTCGCTCCGGACCTACTAAGAACTTCAACGCACTCAAGCTGCCCGCGGAGAGCCGCGAGATGGAGTGGTCGAAGTCCATGAAGGTGGATTGCCGGAGTATCCAAGTCTACACCATGATATGCCATCTTCTGAAGGCATGCAGCATGGCCGAAAAAGGCCGCGAAGTGAGCAGGCGTTAGTCCCAACGTCGCTTTTCCGTTCGCCTTTGCGCCAAGAGAAAGAAGCATCTCCACCACCCTCTCGTGGCCTTGTCTACAAGCAATGTGCATTGGAGAGACTCCCATGTCGTCTGGACGATCCAGATAGTCCCGTATGATGTACAATTCGTGATACATCAAAAGTATACCCTCAGCAAATCCTGATGCAGCTGCGTGCCAGACCACTGACCTCTGGCAATGATCAAAAAATCCCCAGTTCGCCATGAACACATTGGCAGTGAACATGTTCAAATTAATGTCCACGTTGCACTGCTTGAGCAAGGATTGCAAGGCTCGGCTGTTGCGCGTCGCTACGGCCCTGTGCATTGGACGCTCTCCCAGCATGTTAGCGTCGTTACCATAGTAGGTTAAGGATGTTCTTCTAGCGGTGAATGCTCGCAGCAGACCTTCCGAGAACCTGTCTGACATAACCACTAAGTGTGACAAGAAATCAAGGCACGGTGAAGTTGTTGTCTCCAGCCATTTGGGATCCATATCCACGTATTTCTGTAAAGTGCCCAAAAACTCGTCTTGTCCGAGTATAGCGACCAGGTGAATAGGTGCTAGAGCCGTGTTGGCAGATTTGAACTCCGAGCCAGGCATCATGGAAGCGCCCTGCTCCAGTAGATACTCGGCGAGTTTGACGTAGCCCCCGAAAACAGCCCAATGAAGCGGCGTGAACCCAAAAAAGTTAATGGTTTTGACTTCTAGAAGGGTTTTGACAGAGCCCATTTGTTTGACCATGTCGAGCTCCCCATCGCGACAGAATCCCAGCAATTTCTTGGCCTTTTGCTGGTCCTCTAGATCAAACATATCTTCCTTCATATCGGTTTCAATCTGATCAGGAACCCTTTGGAGAAGATCGTCCGTGTAGCTCAGCAACTGCTCCGCCGGCCGGACCCTTACGATGCGTTTGCCAACGAAGGATCCCTCAAAAAGGCTTGAAGCCCCAAAGTCCTCGACTGTAGAAGGCTGAAGGACTCTTGCAAGCTTTCGGGCACAGTCCACAGGTCCAGCGACCTCTCGCGCAGGTGCAAAGTTAAGAGCAGGATCGTGTTGAAAATGATAGTAGCCAAGCTCTGGAACGTCCTCGACTGTGAGCGAAACGTAGCTACGCCCATGTCTGACAATCTCGGAAACTTGTGCCACGCATACGTTCTCTGGGGAGCCAAACGTATTTGGAAAAAGCCTTCCGTTTCGCGCCGATTCATCGGCCATCTCGAAGAGAAAATTCATGGAGAATCCTCCTTGCCGTTTTACAGGCATACACCACGGTTTATAATGCGCTCCACTCGACGCCTCAATCCCCACAAAGACGGTGATCGTACTAGAATTCCTTTCGGAACGAAGATCCTCGAGCTCGATGATTCCCATGACACCTCCGACTTGACCATACGTCGATTTCAATATCCAGGCAGATGAATCCCATCGATTCCGGGGATATGCGGCTTTTACACGGCGGGGCCCAAGAGAATCCGGATTGACATTGAAGTCCGGTACTAAGTGTACAGGGTTCTGGCGGACGTTGACGGTCTTATAACCTTCCTCGGCCAATGGTACCTCAAGGCCGGGAGGCTTGAGGAGTTCAATGGATTCAGGCAGTATACGTGCGTACTGATTTCCCCAAAGGCGCTTGAGGTAGATGGCGGGAGAGCTCTCGACACCTTGTATTGTTCTGCTGCAGTCCAGAATGGCATGAAACCTGTCTGATGATTGTGTGCCACCCTCCCCATTAATCGGCCGAAGATATAGCTTGAGATTGAGGCCTTGGTTGGAGATCGTTGTTGGCATCGTCTCCCCAGAAAGCAATGGTGGCAGCGGTCTGATTCCCGTGCTCTTCAGAAAGTGCATCGGAGAGTCTGCTAAAAGGCCCGACAGATAATCCTCCGTAGTTGTGCTTTTCAAAGTCAGCAAATCAGTCTTTGTCCATGCAAAGATTGACTGATCGTCTGTTTCTCTCATGATAGCTTCTTGTAATCGAACAAAAGCGCGTGACCCTTCTCCGTAAAGAAGGGGCATGTTCACCGAGAATACTCCCAGCAGGCAATATGCCAAATCCTCTACCCTGGTCGTTTGTCGGAGAGCAGCCCAGCTCATTCTCGTGGCAACACTCAAATCTTAGGGTCCCAAGCTGCCGTCGAGCACTCGTTCATCTATCCCAGTAATCTCTCCAAGGATGTGAGGCCCGATCAGGTTGTTAGATGAGGTATCAAGTTGAGATCCAACTTTGCTCCCGAGAAAATCCCACTCAGCTGAGAAAAATTGCATGTTCCTTGGCGCAATGAGTTCCTGCAGTGTCCATCCCCTCGTAAACCAACGAGAACTTCTGATCGTGGCCTCTTGCCATGCTCTTCCGTTGTTGCGCGTAGAGACGTCAGATAAGAAGGCATAGCAGATGCCAGCGCCCTAGTACCATTAGTATATAGTGAAATAGTCGTAGGCCTAGCAGCTGAGAGCTGTGCGACGTAGCAGCATATACGCGCCTGAAGGTGCATAGAGCTACTATAGCTACATAATTTACTAATCTAAAACAAAAAGAATAAGATTAAAAGCTTAAAAATCTACTAAAAAATAAGTAAATTCTACTTCTAATCTATAAGGATTAATAATAATATCTAAGCTAACTTCTTACTTCTTAAAGGGGGCTAGTAATCTAACCTCTAAATACTGAAAATACTGAAAAATTTAATAGGTCTACTAAACTTTATTCTAATTATCTTTAATTATCTTCCCTCTAGCCTTTTAGGCTAGAAGATAATTTCCTATATACTTATATATATATAAAAGTACTATATTTACTAATAGAACTTATAGTAAGTATTCCTATAATTCTAAGCTTCTTCTATTTCTCTTATATAGGTAGTATCCTATTTAAACCTTAGTTTATAATATATTTATCCTTATTATTCTCTTAGCTTTAAAAATCTATAGGTATAGGTCTTAAGTAGTATATAAGCTTCTATTTAAGCTTAAAGGTTAATATATTAGTTAATATATATTACTTAATTAATTACTACTAACTTTAGAATAAGCTACTTAAGAGGGTAAGTAGGATAGTTACTTATAGTTATAAAGTTTTAAGTAAGAACTAAAGATTTATATAATAATAGGATAGAACTTTTATAGCTAGGAGTTATAAATATAGGCTTATTATAATTACTATACCCCTCTAAGATTAGAGAGCTAAAAACTAAGCTTTCTAATAGGGATAAAATAGTAACTAGAGGCTAAACTAATATTATAAGCTTTTAAAGTAAGTTTATTAGTAGGGGTAAATTAAGAGGTTACTCTAGAGATAGCTATATAGTTCCTTTTTTAGTTATCTTACTTAAGTAAACTACTACTATCTATATTATAAGATAGAGTAGGGGGGTTCTTATAAATTAAATTATATTTATAAAACTTAGTAGTAATCTATAATTTATACCTACTAACTAGAGGTAAAAAGCTTTAGTAATAGAAGCTTTTATTAGTAGTAGTATTATTACTAAAGTAGGTATTAAGGAGTCTTTTTATAATAAAGTAGTAAACTTAATTAATATAGTAAACTCTATAGTTATAACTATTAAGCTATTATACTAAATTAACTACTTAAGTATATTATAATAGGATAGTAATAAGGTCTTTAGGCGTTTTAAGTAGCTTATACTAAGTAATAAGAGCTTTAATAATATTAATAAACTCTTAGTTACTCTATTAGTTAAAGCTTAAGTTTATAAAATAGCTCTTCTTATTAGTTTAGTTTACTACTAAATAGATAAAGTAGCTTTACTTAATTTATAAAAAATATATAACTATATTAGAATTCTATAAGTTATTTTTATATTTATTTATAAAGAGGTCTATATTAATAGCCCCCTCTTCTTCTTAGTTAGTATTTTATAATATAATATTTAGTAGGTAAATCTAAACTTTATAATAAGTATCTCTTATAATAAAATATACTAATATAGTGAGATATTTAATTTAGAGGAAGTTTTTTATATAGAGGATACTTTAGGTATTATATAGATTAATTAGTATTTTAAGCGATATAATAAGGTTTTAGTTAGCCTATCTTCTAAAATTATTAAAACTAATAGTAAATTAGGTTTATAAAGAACTTTTTAAGCTAGGATTTAAGTTACTATAGTACTTTATAGCTTAATAAAATCTAACTTCCTTAAACTATAAAGCTTTAATAAGGCTATAAGGGTATATAAGCCTACTTTAGGTAGTTCTAAAAATAAATTAGGTTTATAAAGGGGTACTTTTAGTAAAGTAGAGCAATTAGTATACTATCCTTATTCTTTTAAATTATTATAAAAGGTATCTTATATAGGAGATAGCTATATCCTATCCTTTTATTATTCTAAGCTTAGTAATAACTACTTCTCTTATATCTTAGACCTAAATAGTATAGCTATTTCTAAGAGGTCTATTTACTAATATAAACCTACTATTTAGTACTAATAGAGTTAGCTATTCCTTACTTAGTAGGTTTAAAAGTTTCTCTTTATTATTATACTTTAAGTACTTATTATATAGTCTTTTATACTTTATAATAACTTCTAAGGTAGGTAAACTAATTAGTTTTTATAATAGCTTTAGCTTATTTATAAGCTATTAAAGTTTAAATCTCTAGTACTTAAAACTCTATAGAACTTTATTAAATTTAGCTATAATATATTAGACTTAGTCTATTAATATATCTTAGACTACTCTATTTAGACTACTAAAATTACTAAAATTATTAAAGTACTTAAAGTAGTTAAGTATAATTACTTTAGAGTATTATATAAAGCTAACTTATAAAATATCTAAAATAATAAGCTATTAGAATAAAGCTTATTAAAAGTATAGTAAAAAGCTAGTAAAGAAGTACTTAATATTTTTAGAGATTATAATAAGTTTATTCTCAGCTTCTCTATTTTCTTAGTAGTTATTATATATAAATATTTATCCTATTAAAATATCTAGTAATATTCTAGCTTATATTTAATCTATTTTACTAAATAGTATTATAAAGTATTTAGTAAAGAGGATAAAGTAGTACTATTATATATTTTTAATTATAAAGTAGTCTACTAGTAAGAAGCCTCTAGGTAATCTTAAAGTTAACCTAACTCTCTAACTAATATAATATATAGCTATAGTAAAGCCTCTTATAATATTATTACTACTTAGTATAGTAGTAGTGAGGATAATACTTTAGAGGTTATAAGCGCTTATAATACTTTTAAGTATTTTTAAATCTAATTATAAGTATCTTAGGTAGATTATTACTAATCCCTATCTATTAAGGAGGTACTATTATAATTTAATATCTCTTAGTTATAGCTATATAGGTATTAGAACTAATTCTTTATTAAAGGGGGAGAAAGTATTATTAAAGTATATAGGCTTTAGCTAAGTAGTAGTTCTATTAATATATTTAAGTAACTTATCTCTCTTATAATTAACTTAGAAATATAACTAAATTAGAGTTTTAGAGGTCTTTTTAGACTAAATAAGTTACTTAACTATATAAACCTTAATAAGACCTTTAATAAAAGCTCCTTCTTAGATAGATATTATATTAACTAAGTTAAGTAGTAATAAAGATATAGTAGTTCTTAAGAAAAGTATAATATATACTTTATAGATATAATTAGTTATAGCATAATATATAGGTAGTGAAATAAGAAAAAAGAAGGAGAGAAAGTAATATTAGCGTAGTATATAGAAAGTATATTAAAAAATAGAGAAAGTAGAGGTAATTAGTATAATAGTTACTTAGTAATAGTTTATAAATATAAATAGTAGTTATATAGTTATTTACTTAAAGTTTATAAGTAAAAGTTATAAGTGAAATAGTAATAATTTATAGATATAAGTAGGTAGCTATAATTACTTATTTTATTAAAGATAAAATAAAAAAACAGCTACTAAAGTGAATTAAAGTTTAAAATAAGAAAGTAGGTATAATTACTATTAAATTAGTAGCTTTAATTACCCTACTTATTTATCTATTTATATCTCCTCTATAAGCTATTAAGGTAGTATTTCCTTCTTTTATTAATAACCTATCTATATTATCCCTTAAGTAAATAATTATTATATTTTAGGTCTATAAAGCTTATATCCTCACTAACTAATAAGTTTTTTATACTTTTCTTTATTATAGTTAAAAATACTAACTAGCCTTAAGAGTAGTACCTTCTAGCTTATTATAAGTTCTAGCTACTAACTAACTCTAAGAAGTAACTAATTAATATAAAGTCTAACTCTCCTCTTTATATTATATTAAATAACTTAAGTTTAATTATAAGTTCTTACTATATATCCTTATTATCTCTTACTATTTAGCTAATAGGTTTTTTTATAGTTACTTATAAGCTTTATTTAGTATAAATTTAAACTTCTATAGCTTTATAATATATACTATAAAGTAGACTTTAGCTTATTTATACCCTCTATATCTATAAAGTAGGTTATAAAATAATTTTAGTAAAACTTAATAAGTATAAAGTACTTATTATATATAATTAGCTACCTAGGTGTCTCTCTTAACCTCCTCTATAAATAAGTATTTATTATAAGTAGCTTTATAACTTCTTATAGGCTTTAAGTAACTAAGGTCCTTAATCTTAATTATCTAGTAATATTTTATAGCTTCTTTATTTAAGCTTTTAGAGGTTATAATACTATTCCTTATAACTACTATAAGGCTTATACTTACTCCTTTAAGGATAATTTAACTAATACTTAGGTTTATAAACTATATTTTAAATATATTTTAATACTTAGTAAACTTTATATAAACTATATTTACTATAAGGATATTTTAAAGGAGTGTTTATATACTAATAAAAAGGTCTATAAGGAGTTTAGCTATAAGATAAGAAAAGAGAAGAAGTATTAAAAGAGTAGTAAGTATATTAGTATTAGGATTACTAAGTTAAAGATTAATTAATAAACTATAAAGTAAAGTTATATATAAA